CAGCAGGGCTGGTTTACAAACGAATCCTGGGAAACAACAGAAACGAGCAAGCAGAGCCGGTGTGTTCAAAGGGGCGGGTGGAGCAGCAGCCGAGGGGCTTGTCCAGGCTGGCGACCCTGAATCCTCTTCCCAGCTTCAGGAAGGTGTCTCACACGCTGTCAGACAGGTCTGGCACTGGGCCCGTGGGCTCTGTCTTCCTCTAAGGCACCCTGACCATGGACCACCAGCTAATGCCAGAGCAGGGAGGGACGGTCACCTCCAACCTACCTCGAGCGGTGCTGTGCCTGCTATGTCCCCGTGAGTGGCGCAGTGTCTTCAGGGACTGGGCGCTCCACCCACAGCTGGGAGGTGAGGTCCCCCAAAGTCCCTAGAGATCAGCTCCTGCGGGTGGAATTAGTTTAGACCCTCCAGATCAAGGAGGGGCACACAAAAGCCTAATGGAATACTAACTGAAATACCTGGTCTTTTTAGGCCACATGCTGCAGATATCCATCCCAATGATAAAATTTTTTCCTGCTTCGTATAGATTTTTCCTGCTTCCTATACTTCCTGAGTTTAATTTTTCTTAGTTACAGATTTATACAAAAAGGCAATAAACATTTTTTTTTTGTACCGTAATTTCTGTCTGGAGAAATCTTTCTCAAAACCCCGTGCACCGGCATCGCCACCCTAACATGCACCCCTCCTTCCAACGTGCCACCCCCCCCCCCCAAGCCATTGCTTCACCAAGGGAACCTCGCCTGCCATGGCCCGAGTTATTTCTCTCTTCTGTCTTATTTTCTAATTGCATTAGCTCACACACTACATTTATGTACTCCTCGCATGCGATATTATTTTTATTGCCTGAAAACAATGCAGGCGTGCTTCAAGGCCAACCTTCGCTGCACGGGACGTGAGCGTTTGCACCTTTCCCCGCGTGTGTCTGGCGTGGCCGTGTGTGTGGACTTGCTTCCGTGGGCGGCCAGCACGCTTCACGGTTTCGTTGCCTTGCCGACCTCACCACTCACCACCAGGTTCTCGGCTCTTGCAGGGGGACGCTCTCCAGCACTCCTGCCTTCTTTGGAACACCTGGTGGCTGTGCCCGCACCTGTCAAACAGGACGTCCATGTCAGCCACACACACAGACTGAGGGAGACAAATAAAAAGTGGCAGCTCCTTCCTGGCACCAGGCTTCTCTTCTGCAGGTTGCGTGCTTGTGTTAATCCTGCTCCTCCGAATTCCTCACCTGGATCTACCCTACTGTTACAGCAAGTGTTATAGCAGTTGTTCCCAAGGTCAAACCAAGCAGTACACAGAGATTCGGAGAATCAAAGTTCATTCGCTGGTGGGCTCAGAGGGGCCTTGCCACCAAATTCTGAGCCTTGTCTACCCTATTTTTCCTACTTTTATTAAGTTGGGGTGGTCCAAGGGGTGGGGTATCAGGTGTAGGTTAGTTGATGCACCAGGTAATAGGTTTAGTGCTACGCTGATGCACCAAGTAATAGGTTAGTGTTATGCTGATGCGATTCTTGCGTGAGGGGTGGGGTCTCAGGTGCCTGATGCGCCAAGTAATAGATGGGGTTTCCCTTATCACTACTGGCACTCGGTGAGCTGGTTACACTGGGCTCTAAGGGCTGCAGGAAGCCTGAGTTAAAGGCTGTAACCGGTAATCCAGCCTGACACTTCACTTATCTAGACCCACAGATGGAGCTGGGAGTGCAGAGCTGTCAGCTCACTCCCTAAGGCTGGATTTAAACATCTCTTTGCCACCCACCGAAAGGGTGAATGAATGACCCAAAGGACACATGCCACACGCGGGCTGTGTGGGAGCCATGTGGATGGTTTACTCACCCTGGTGCGGGGTGGTGGGGGGAGGCTGAGTCCAAAAAGCGAGTCAGCACAGAAGGGGGTTTAGTGAGGGTTTTTATAAAAGGGGACAGCTGACCCCCTCCCACCTGCCCTGTTCAGTTCTTTGTTTCTGGGCCAAACAGGCAGGTGAAGAATCGCTTCCTGCTACGTGCAGCACGGGACGGTGGGCAGAACAGAGGTTTGTAGTAAATTCTTTTTGTTTTGTTTGTTTTTTTGAGACAGGGTCTCACTCTGTTGCCCAGGCTAGAGTGCCATGGCGTCAGCCTAGCTCACAGCAACCTCAAACTCCTGGCCTCAAGCGATCCTCCTGCCTCAGCCTCCCGAGTAGCTGGGACTACAGGCATGCGCCACCATGCCCGGCTAAATTTTTCTATATATATTTAGTTGTTCAGCTAATTTCTTTCTATTTTTTTTAGTAGAGACAGGGTCTCGCTCTTGCTCAGGCTGGTCTCAAAATCCTGAGCTCAAAGAATCCGCTTGCCTCGGCCTCCCAGAGTGCTAGGATTACAGGCGTGCACCGCGCCTTGCCCTAAATTCTTCAAACAACCAACTCCTACTACCCCTTTTCCCCAGTTGCATCCATCCTTCTGTTCTGGTGTGGTCTTATCAGGAGAGGTAGGGAGGGATGGGCTTGATCTCTATCAGGGAGAGAGGGGGAAGGAGTGCTGGCTGCAGCTTGTGTAAGATCTACAAAGCCCAGGACTCCCCAGACTCCTGCAGCTGTTGTTTCACAAGCCCAAGTTTTGCATTAATCAAATGCTGTCATACACATCATTTTCCAGTTTCACCAGGAATAAACCTAACACCCACCATTCCTCTAAGGAGTAGATAAGCATAGAGAGAAGGGGGTTGAAGGGACACCCCCTGGGGGCGTTAAAATGGCCTCAGAAATGCAGAAGCCACCCTCCTTTGTGGGGCCTGGTCTCCCCCTGGGAGGACTCTGATTCTTAGAGGTTGTGTTGGGTTTTGCAGTTCGGGCTGATCAGGAAGCAGACTGGGCCTGCGACTTGTCCAGGGTGGCCATCTGGTAGAGCCAGTGTCCCTGGACCCCACCAGGCTGTGGTGCCCTGGTGGCCCAGCACACCCTGCTGGCCCCGCCCCTGAGGTGGTGACTCCACTGGCCCTTCACAGACTGCCTGTGACTTGGGGCCAGGCTGCCAGGCCTCCTCCCCTGGACCTCGTAGTGCCCCTCAGGGCATACCCAGGAGGGGCCACTGGGCCTGGGGCTGGCTGTGCCTCTGGTCTGGAAGGGGGTCCTGGTCTTGGCCAGCACTCTGCTGGTGTCCCCCAGGCCTGGCAGGTGGCACAGGGCAGGGCCACCTTCTCCCTCCTCCTGACATTCCTGTAAGGGGTCCCGGCAGGCACTGCGTGCAGTCCAGGAGCCGTCTCCCCGGGTCCTGGCGACACCCTCTCCCACCAGGACCAGGAGTGCAGCCTGTGGCCGCCCTCTGTCAGCTGGGCTTTGTGACGGGGTCCAGCCGGTCCCGCCTGGCGCCCCCTTCTCTCATGAGAAGCTCTGTCTTGTGGGGCCCGGCTGCATCACCCCAGGGGAAGCCCCAGTGGGGGAAACCGTGGCCGTGGGGTGGCGTGGGGTGGCTGGTCGTGTTGGTCTTTGTGGGAAACACAAAATACTCGGGACCTGAGCCAAGTGCCCCAAGCACTGCCCAGAGCTCAGATGTCGGCCTGGAGACCAAGCGCCAGAGAAGCCCGCCCTGCAAGGGTGTGGGCGCTGCAGGAGGGGCACCCCAAGAAGGACAGAGTTGGGGGCACCCGGCCCAGAAGGAAGGACAGTGCACGTAGAGAGGGGAACTGGGTGGCAGAGCCTGTGGCTTTGCAAGTCAGCGGTGAGGAGCTCACAGGCCCAGCTCCCTCCAAGGGTTCCTTCTCAGGGGAGCTGGGAGGGGAGGGGAGGGTGGGGTCGGCTGGGATGGTCTGCACCGAGGCGTCTGCCATTCCCTTATTATTAACCCTTCAAGGGCCCTGGGAAGCGGCACTGTGAGCCCACAGATGAGAAAACTGAGGCACAGAGGGGAGCGGGTACGGGCGCAGGCGGAGGTGGCCTCTCCAAGGCTGGTGTCTGAGCGTCTGGCGTGAAGTGTCCACCGCCCTAGGTCCCGGCGGCCACTTGGTCCGGTCCGTACAGTCCCGAAGCAATGGGCTGGTGACCTCCTCGGCGCTCCGAGTGGCCTACAGCAGGGCCGAGTGACCCGCCTCTCGTGCGCGGCCCTGGACACTGTCTGAGATGCTGGGCTCTCCGGAGACCTGGGGAGCCACAGAGCAGGCATGGGGGACGCTGAAGGCGGAGGTGGGAAGCGCGCTGGGTCCTGGGTGCCGCTCTGGGGTGCGGCCCGCAGGGCGTGGTCAGTTCAGGATGCCTCATCCAGTGGGTGCTCGGGGGCCCGCAGGGAGTGGTCCGGAGCGCAGGGTGTGAGTTCTCCGCACTGGGGCCAGCCTGCTCGTGTGTGGGTCCTGCAGGGCGGGGTGCAGGGTGTGCGGCGCCTGTGTCCTGATGCGCCAGTGTCTGGTTGCCGCCCTCCCGCCTCTTCCTAGCCCCTCCAAGTTTCGGTTTTCCCTCCGCCCCCGCCTGCGCAAGGCACTCCAGGGATGCTGGCTACAGCCCTGCAGCGCAGGGTGTTCCTGATCAGCCCCAGCGTGGGCAGAGAAGCTGGGCGGACCCAGACCTGGAGGAGGACGGCCACACCTGGCACCTGTGGCTCCACCCGGAATCTTTGCTTCACTGATTGCAGCACCTGATAAGTGCAGCTGCAAAAGACACTTTGTCTTTACTCACAGTGAGTGATCCCAGGAAAGCACCGCCAACCAGAGCAGCACCTGCTGGAGACAGAGGGGCTCCAGGCCTGGCGCTGGGAGCAAGGAACAAGTAAGTGGAAAGTGGCTTCCCCACCCCTGCTCTGCTGTGTTCCTGAGCCTGTTCTGAGTTTTCTTGTCTGCAGGAAGCGCAGCATTGGGGAAGGAAACACTTAAAGTGGAAAGAAAGCTGCATGGGCAATGGGGAGTAATTGAAGATGTTGGAGTGAGGGAGTGCCCAGGCCGCAGTGGTGGTGCTTCAGGGGATGTGTAAGGAGAGGGGGAGGGGCGGCATGGGGGCCGGGGCCTGGCTGGGGCAGGTGTAGGGAGTTTTAAGCTCTCCCTGTACTCTCTGAAGGAGAGAGAACTTGAGTCTCTGGAATAAAATGACAGTAGACAGATGTCGGGAGTAGAGGCCTCCAAATTTATTGTGTGCAAACGGGAGCCTGACCAGGAAGGGCCTGGTGATGGCAGTTTTCACAGCCTCGGGCAGGGGCCTGGGGGGGGGTGGCCTCTGGGTAGAAGGTGTCTTGTCACGCAGATGCAGTCTCAGGGGATCTCCTACCCCTCTCCGCAGAACTGCTGGGGCCCCTGGCGTCTCTGGCCGGCCTCTCCTCTCTGCCTACAGGACCGTCCCGCGGTCCCTCTCTGAGCAGGCGCGGGGCCTCTGCTGGAACACGGTCCACGAGTATCGAGTTCCTTTGTAGCCACAGAAGTGTTTCCAGGTGGCGTGGCTTAGTCTCCCGAGCCGGTGAGGCCAGGCAGCCGCACACACCTCGTCCCGTCCGGGATCTGCAGGCAGGAGCTCACGGTGTGCTGAGACCGCCGGCTCTGGCCGCTGCTCCCGCAGTTGTGGGTCCAGGGCCTCAGACAGGGCGGTGGGTGGGGCAGGCCCTTGGGAGTCTTGCCGTGGAGAGAGGTGGTGGCCATGAGCTGTCTGCACCCTCGGCCTGCACATAGTAGGAGCCCTGGAGGCCGAGTGCCCAGCCCGAGTCCCGGCCTTGACCCGGCTTAGCTGAGCCCCCCGCCCTGGTTTGATGCCACCCCCACAGAGGCTGCTCTGAGGGCAGAGGGCAGCGCCAAGCACGGGGGCTTCACCGGTGGCCCCGTGAGCTGTGAGAGCTGTTCACGTCTTGATCCTCACCTGTGGGGGGGGACGAGGAGGCCACCGCCTTGCTCTGGGCACGCCTCCAACGCCTTACCTGCCTCCAAGCCCCCTCCTCCCTTCAAGTTCTCCGAGGCTGTTTCGGGGAAGTGACCCATGGGTCTTAGCCAGGGACGGTCCCAGACTTGCTGAGCTGGGGAGGCTCAGAGCTCGGGGTCTGGGGGCGGGGCGTGGGCTGCAGGGGGTGGGCAGGCAGGTGAGGGAGGAGCTTGGGATGGAGAAGTGACAGGGCTACTGGCTGCAGGGGATGTGCTGGGTTTCCATTGACCAGGGGACCTTCTGGGCCACTGCAATTTCACTTTCCCAGAAAATGAAACAGAATTGGGTCCTGGTCACATGACAGCAGGCGAGGTATATAAGGGGCCGCCTCAGACTCCTGCTCTTGCTTCCAGATCTGCAGCTGGGCAGACGCGGCCTTCAGCAGCCCCCGCCGGAGGCATGGAGTGTCCTTCGTGCCAGCATGTCTGCAAAGAGGAAGCCCCCAAGTTCTGCAGCCAGTGCGGACACAGACTGCCTCCTCCTGTGGCCCCCGTGGCAGGTGAGGCCCCGGAGAAGATGGGGACCCAGTGGATGGTAGGTGAGGCTCCGGAGAAGATGGGGACCCAGTGGATGGTAGGTGAGGCTCCGGAGAAGATGGGGACCCAGTGGGTGGTAGGTGAGGCCCCGGGGAAGATGGGGACCCAGTGGGTGGCAGGTGAGGCCCCGGGGAAGATGGGGACCCAGTGGGGCAGTGGGGACCCCCGGAGGTGGGCAGCCAGCCTGTCCTGCCGCCTTTCCAGGAAATGGAAGCCGTGGCCAGCAGGCAGCCCAGGCAGGGCGGGGTCCGAGGTGGCTAGGACTGCAGGGTGAGTAGTAATTGAGGCAGACCTGTGAGGAGATCAGCTGCTTCTCCCCACAGAGCCAAGTCCCTAAGATAGGGGTCGCCACAGAGGATAAGGAAATTGATAGGCAGCAGAAAGAAATAAGAGAATACACAGAGACTAAGATATAGTTTATAGTTTTATATATATATATAAAGATCAGATATAACACAGCAGGGTGTGCCTAGGGGACTGGCATATCTCCATAAATACCAGCAGTATGGTTAGATTCATACAGGTTTTTATAATCACAGACATCAATTACCAGTTGTCAGGGTAACATATTTGCATATCAGGGAATGCAGTTGCTAGGGGATACAAGTAGTGGGTTAGAGTCAAAAGGCCTCTCAAGGGGCTTCTAATCTATCTAGGTGAACAAACAGGTACAAAGTCTTTCAGGGGCTAGATTCTAACTTCTAAGAGGTAGTTGTCAATTAACAGAGGTAAAACAAAAGAGGTATAGTGACTCAATATTTCTTTGATTAGTTATGGTGGACTTAAGGTAAACAGACAGGAGAGAGCAGGAAACCCATCTCTAATAAACAGGTTGTTTATAACCACTGGGGCGCTTCTCTGGGCAAGGTGTACTCACTGTCTCCGGCTCCCATCCTGTGGGCCATGTTTGCCCTGTCTTGTCTTTCAAGACACAGGGAAGCTCACAGATTTTGAGATACCAGCAAGCCTTCCTGGAAAACATCCTCACCAGAGATTTGAGAGCTTTCCCATGATAACAGCCTCTAATAAGTGAACCATTGAGTCCACACATTCCTTTAGGGCAAAACCCTGCAAACTCCTGTTTCTGTCTTTAATATAGTAATATTGGGTTATACAATAAAATAATAATCGTATGAGCCACATCTCATTAATTCCTCAATCATATTTCCCCAACCTAAGACTCCCCCGAGAAGCACTTTCCTTAGAAGAACAGTTTTATTGGGTCCTTTGCTGGAGGAGCCTGTGGCTTGTTAAACTTTCGGTTTCGTTTCCTAGTGAGAACTCAGGGCTCTGCTTGCCCTCGGGAAGGAGGAGTGTCCGGCTGAGCTGAGGGGTCTTAGAGGGTCCAGCGGGTGCCATGGGGAGTCGGAGGTGTTGGCGGGGTGTGTTTGGGAGGGCCAGGGAGGGAGGCCCGTGGAGAGACGGGCGGAGCAGGGTGTCAGGTGCGCCCACCTGCTGACCGGCCGGGTCCGTCCTCAGTTTCGTTGGCTTCCAGGACCTCAGACTGTGGTTCCCCTCTGGGCTGCTCTCCCTGTCTCTCTCGGTGGCTCATCCACTTCTGTGGTTTTAACTGCCACCCACGCACTGGCAGCCCCGTTCATCCTTCCACCCTGAACCTGGCGCCTGAACGCCGCCGCCCCGTGGCCTGGGCGCTGGGTGAACCTTCAGCCCTTCCAGGTGTGGAGCCCGCTCCCCTCCGGCCGGCTGGTCCTTCCCGCTGCCCCCGCCCAGCCCCAGCCTGTCCCCGGCCCTCTCCTTCCTTCACAGCCCACATCTGCCGTCCTCGGGGGTGGTGGCAGTGGCCCCTGCTGGCCCCCGATTTCCTTCCTGCCCTGCCTCTGACACTCGCACAGCAGAGTCAAACCACGAACCCTCCCCGACCCCTCCGCTACCAGTTCAACTCGGAGCGCAGGCTGGAGTCCGTACAGGGGCCCACAGGGGCCTCCTAGACGCTGCCCACCGGTCCTGCTGCCCTGCTCCCCGCGGCCCCAGAGCCCGCCGGGCTCCCTGCCCTTCCTGGACACGCTCGGTGTGCTGCGACCGCACAGCCGCCGCTTCCCTCCCTCGGCCTCTGCCCAGCCGGCCCCTCTGGGGAGGCCGCTCTGACCGCCCATCGGAAGCTTCCGCCGGCCCCTCCCCAGACGCCAGGTGCGCCCCACCGGCTCTTCTCCTCTCAGAGCCCTCGGGCCACACCAGCGTGGCTTTCTAGGAGACCTCTGCTCCTCCGTGCACCGCTTTGTCCCAGGGTCCTCGCGAGGTGCCTGGCGCACAGCAGGTGCCGGCATTTACTTGCTGCGTGCACCAAAGCAGGTTCACGGGACCCCGTGTAGTTTGTAAACATGTGCTGCGCGGGCGTGTGAGGTGCACGCGTGTCTGCGGCAGAGCTGCCTGCCGCTGGGGACTCCCCGGCGCTGCGCGTGTGTGACGGGGCTGGGTATGAGCCGCCGGTTCTGCGCGTCTGCACAAAGTGCTCGCGATGCAGGTGCCTTCACGGGGCTGAGAGTGTGAGTGGCCACCGCCGGCTGTCTCTCTGATTTTCTTTTGCTGCTGACTCTTTGGGGAGGAACTTGGCTGACACTCAGATTTAAGAGTTTCATCTTTTCTTTCGGAATACTCGGGACTTGATGGGTTGCGGAGCTGCAGGCACACCTGGTAAGTGTCCCAGTGGCTGCTCCCGTTGTCACTTTCTTGCTGTTGAGTTACCCATCATGGGATGGCTGAGCTTTGGGTCACCAGAACGCCTGCCTGGGTGGAGGACCTTGGGAGCAGAGGGTCTTTGGAGTCCCAGAGATTAACAAAAGTAACAAAAGGAGTCTGCTTTAGCCAGGCGTGGTGGCACCTATAGTCCTGGCTACTCAGGAGGCCGAAGTAGGAGGATCACCGGAGCCCAGTACTTGGAATTTGCTGTAAGCTGTGATGACTCCAGTGCACTCTAGCCTGGGCAATAGAGTGAGACTCTGTCATAAATAAATAAATACACACACACATATAAAACCCAGTCTGCTCACCTGGGATGTCCCCAGCACTGCGCTAAGTATCGAGGAAGGAGCTGTCGTAGCTTCCCTTTCACAGATGGCTGAGTGTGAGGCGCAGAGAGGTTCTGTCACTTGCCCCGAGTCACACAGCCAGCGCCTGGCAGAGACAGGATAGAACCCCGCAGAGCCCAGTGTCCTGGCTGGAGCGCAGCTGAGGATTTGCTGCCCCCTGTGGAGCGTGGGAAGGTGGACGCTGGGGTGGCTGCTGCCCGCCTGGGCTCAGTCCCGAGCAGCTCCAGCCCTCCCCTCGGCAGAGTGCAGTGGGGGGAGCGGGAACGGAGGCCGGGCCTCAGGAGCAGAGTTAGCGGCTGTCACAGGGGAGCAGGGCGGACCCCGACTGTGGCCAAGAAGGGCTGTGCCGGAGAGACAGAGCCCTGGGGGGCTGCGTCTGGCCTCTGACCCGTTTGGGAACACGAGCAGGCTCGCTTGCATGCTCTGGGAGGGTCCCCTCTTCCTCTCCCCGCCTGCGATCTTATGCGAGGGCCTCGGAGGGGCCGTGAGGGTGACAGGCCTGCGTGTGGCAGAGCGGGAAGAAGGGAAGGCCTGTGTGAGAACGTGGGTGTGTGGCGTTTTACGGAATGCCATAAGTCTTCTCATGCTTGAGCCAGAGCCAGCGGCAGCCTTCCTGGGGCGCCCATCCCGGCGGGTGGGGACAGCAGCGGGGCAGCCGTGCCCTCGGGCCATTCAGGGTGGCCTGGGCCCTCCTCACGCCCCAGCCCTGACTCTATTTGAAGGAACGGAAATGTAAGCCAAGGTGTCAGGGATCTGGCTGGGGCTGCTGGGGAGGCAGCCGCTCCTGCCTCAGCCACTTACTTGCAGGTTCACCAGGTGGCCCTGGGCTCCGGCATCCAGACTCGGGCTCGGGGGCGGCAGGAGAGGGGCGCAGGCAGGCCCGGCCCTGGGAGCCGGCAGGGCGGGGGTCTGTGGGGCCAGTGGAGGCCACTGTGCCGTCTGCCCGGAGGCGCTTGGCTGCCTGGTCCTGGGGGTGTCTTAGGTGTCAGTGTGCCTGGATTAAGGGGTTCCTAGAGAACTGGTAACGCATAATGTTAGGATGTGTCCGTGAGCGTGTTTCCAGAGATTATCGCGTGAGTCTAAGGGGACTAGGTGGGGAAGATCTGCCCTCAACGTGGGCAGACGCCATCCCGCGTCACTGTTGCTAATTTTGGTAGAGACGGGGTCTCACTCTTGCTCAGGCTGGTCTCAAACTCCTGAGCTCAAGTGATCCTCCCGCCTCGGCCTCCCAAATAGCTGGGACTACAGACATGCACCACCATGCCCTGCTCATTTTCTCTTTTTGTAGAGATTGGGGGGGGGGGTCTCACTCGTGCTCAGGCTGGTCTCAAACTCCTGACCTCAAGTGATCCTTCTGCCTTGGCTTCCCAGGGTGCTAGGGTTAGAGATGTGAGCCACGGCGCATTGCCAGATTTTTGTATGTTGATTTTATATCCTGCAACTTTACTGAATTTATCCATTCTGAGTTTTTTGGTAGAGTCTTTATATTTTTCTCTACATAAGGTCATGCTTTTTGCCAACAGGGACAATTTGACTTCCTCCTTTCCAATTTGGATACCTTTTATTTGTTTCTCTTGCCTAATTTCTCTGGCTAGGACGTCCACTAATATGTGGATTAAAGGGATGAGAGAGGACATCCTTGTCTTGTTCTGGTTTTTCGTGGAAAACCTTTCAGCTTTTCCATGTTCAGTAAGATGATATTCGTGGGTTTATATATAGAGGCTTTATTACATTCAAGTACTTTTTTTCTATACATAATTAATTAAGAGTTTTTACCATGGAGCGATGCTGAATTTTATCAAGCACTTTTTCTGTATCTATTGAGATGCTCTATGGTTTTTATGTTCCACTCTACTGATGTGATGTATGACGTTTACTGATTTTCATATGTTGAACCATCCTTGCATTCCTGGGATAAACCACACTGGATTGTGCTGTATTTTGCATTGTTTTTTAGTCTTAATTTTGTTTATTTCTGCTCTGACCTTTATTACTTCTTTTTTCCTACTAAATTTGGGTTTGGTTTGTTCTTGCTTTTCTAGTTCCCTAAGGTGCATTATTACATTGTTTATTTGAAATCTTTCTAGTTTTTTGATGTAGGCATTTATTGCTATGACTTGCCTCTTAATACTACTTTTTCTGTATCCCATAGGTTTTGGTATATTGTATTTCTATTTTAATTTGTTTGAAGGAATTTTAAAATTTTGTTTGTAAGTTCTTTCTTCACCCATTGGTTGTTCAGGAGCATGTTGTATAATTTCCATATATTTGTGTAGTTTCAAATGTTGCTCTAGTTATTGATGTCTAGATTTATTCCATTGTGGTCAGATAAGATGCTTGATACAATTTCAATTAAAAAATTTTTTTGAGACTTGTTTTGTGTGCTAACATATGGCCAATCCTGGAGAATGTTCCATGTGCTGATTTAAAAAAATGTATATTTTACAGCTGTTGGGTGTAATGTTCTGTTAGGTTCATTTGGTCTATTGCGCAGTTTCAATCTGGTATTTCTCTGTTGATTTTTTTGTCTAGATGATCTACCCAATGCTGAGAGTGTGGTGTTGAAGTCCCCAACTATTATTATACTGAGGTCTAGCTCTCCCTTTAGATCTAATTTATTTGCTTTATATATCTGGGTGCTCTTCTGTTTAGTGCAAATATATTTACAATTGATATATTCTATTCTAAGTTGTTCCCTTTATTATCATGTAACGTCCTTGTCTCCTTTTACAGTTTTTAACTTGAAGTTTCTTTTGCTTATATATTTATAGCTACTCCTACTCACTTTTGGTTTGCATTTGCATGGAATATCTTTTTCCATCTGATGGATAAAACCACGCCTCCCGGGGCGGTCGGCAGGCGCTCCCCTCCAGTGTCGGGTAGAGCACGTCCCCACACTGGCTGCCCAAGAGTCTCTGCGTTTCTGAACTGCTGTCTTCCACCTCCGCCCATCGCTCTGTGAGCGTGTGGACAGTTCTATTTAATGGCAGCAATCGGCAGAGCCCTTTTTTTAATATATTTTTTGTTCCTTACTTGCTCTATTATTATTTATTTTTATAATTGTGTAGTTTTCTGTAGTGCTAAGATTTGATTTCTTTCTCATTCTCCTTTGTATATTGGCTTTACCAGTGTATTTTATGAATTTGCATGTTTTCATGATGGCATTTATCATCTTTCTTCTTCCACATATAAGCCCCCCTTAAGAATTTCTTGTAAGCCTGGTCTCGTGGTAATAAAGAGACAGAAAGGGAAGTCTATTTCTGAATATCTGTAAACACGGTGAGCGGTTACATCAGGAACTCCAGTAAGCCAGCCCTAGACCCTTCTGCCCTTCTTGCCAATGAGCCCATCCGGGAGCCAGTCACTGGGGCCAGGGGAAGTACCAGGTTCTGACTAGGTTAGGCTGATCAGGGCTGCCCCCCAGCTGGGTGTGGTGGGAGGCTACAAATTCCAAGTCCCCAGTTGATATGTAATATCTATTGTCCAGACAAGTGGCCCCAGCTGTGTGTGACATCCTTCCCCAGCTTTTGTCTTTTGCCAATAATGTTTTTTTTTGTGTGTGTATGTAAATAGAAGTTTAGAGGATTGGTTGTCAATTCTGAGTCCCGGGGATAATCTTCCTTAATTTCTGAACACTCATATGTCCATGCACTTGGAACTCAAAAGGGAATAAGGGCAGCATGTTCCAGAACTTACAGAGAAGGAAAAGGGTATGAAGAAACTGGGTGACAGGAGAGGGAGGAGGGCAGGGATTTGGGGAGCAAGTACACAGGGCAGCGGACTCGCTGGGGCAGGCCTAGGGCTGAGGAAAGGAGTCTGTGTGGGTGAGGCTGAGAGAAGTTTTTATATGGAAAACCAGACTTGAAATGGTACATCCAGGAGCATATGTCAGAGTGGTGGATTATCGAGACACAGAGATTGAAAACAGGGAGCCCTTGGAGGGTGTCTGAGTCCGTTTTGTGTTGCTATACAAGAATACCTGAGACTAGGGAATTTGTAAGGAGGTCTATTTAGCTCGGTTCTGCAGGGTGAGCAGTTCAAGTGCATGGCCCCGGCTCCTGGGAAGAGCTTCTGTGCAGCCTCACGACATGGCAGAGAAGGTCAGAGGAGAAGTGGACACGTGGAAAGGGGAAAACCTGAGGGATGTCCTGGCTTTATAACCCCCGCTCTCAAGGGAGCTATGGGGGTCCCAACACTGCCACCTTGGAGCTCAGATTTCAGCACGAGCTTTGGTGGGAACAGACAGGCTATGTCTAACGCATAGCAAGGGTGAGGTTGGGGGGCTCCTGGATCAGGTGCTCAGTGCTGCTGGGTGTCGGCCCTGAACGCGCGTGATTCTGGAGGCAGACTCCTGGGCAGATGGTGCTGGACAGAGAAGTGTCCGGAGAGCCCTGGGTTGCCGCTGGGAGAGGCGCCCGCTCCGGAGAGAATGGTAGGAGCTTTTTTGGTGGAGGAGGACGGCGTGGCCGGCTCCCTTTGAGAGCCGTGGAGTCTGAGGTGCCACGGACGTCCCTGGACAGCGTCCAGGTGAATATGCTGATGTGGACGTTGTCGGGGAGGGGCTAGACATTCGGCCTGCACCCTGCCTCTGTCTGATTTGCCCTTGTTGTGGGGGGCTGGGGTGCCTGGCCCCTTTCTGCCCACCTGAAGAAGAAACCAGGCCCTGCTCAGGTCAGGGGGCGCAGGAAGGACCTTGGAGGGAGGACCGGGCTCGCCCCTCACACGCGCGTGGGGAGGGCCGTTCCCTGTGCTGCTCCCTGGCCGAGGCCTGACCCTTCCTTTGTCTGCTTGCAGATCCCGGGCGCAGTGATGCTGCAGCGGCCCCGGAGGGCGGCTTGGAGTGTGGGGAGGAGGCGAAGGAGGAAGGGAGCTCTTGCCTGTCCCCAGGCTCAGGTGATTGTCAAGAAAGCCCAGACGAGCCCTGTTCCGAAGCCCCTTGGACTGTCCAGCAGGTGAGTGCGCCGCCCCGCCTCCCCGTTCCCTGTTCTCGCTCTGCACGGAGCTGCCGCCTGGTGCAGTTTCATCCGTGGCTGAGCAAGGTGGGCGCTGCGTCTCCCTTGCTGGCCCCTGTGTCCCCACGGCGTCCTCTCCAGGGCAGCCGTGCTGCACAGCTGGCCCCCGCAATGCCACTGCTGAACCCCGCCCTCTGGCCAGAGCAGAGCGGCCCCTTCTGCGCCTGACGAGTCCGTCGCCAGAGTCTCTGGGTTCCAGGCCTCTGGAGTCCCCGCCTTCCCCGTCCCTGCACAGGCCCCGACACTGTGCGTTTCCGGGAAGCCGTGGCTGGGTGCAGGGCTTGAGCTTTGGTCACGCGTGTGTCCCCTTGTACTCTGGGTCTCCAGAAGGGTTAGGCTTTTGATTTTTATGGAAGTTGACAAAAAGATGCTAAAGTCTATATGAGCTATAAATTGTGAGAAAGAAGACAAATGCACGGGAGAGTGACAGAAGGTGTCACAGGCACGTCCCTGGGGAACACACGGACGTCAGGTGGGTGTGAGCATAGGAGACGACATAGCGTGCGGGGACAGGGGCGTCGTAAAGCAGATGTGGCGGTCGAGGCATTAAGCGTGGCTATCTGAACCACGGCTCAGCAGGGGGGAAACTAGTGTATTCCCAAGTCGCCCACGCCGGCACGCACAGGGGTCCTGGGTGTCCGTGCGCGCTGGTTGCAGGACCCCGCGGGCACCAGCATCCGAGGGCGCTGCAGTCTCTGGCGCGAAACGGCACGGCAAAAGGGTCAGGGTGTGCGCATGACCTGCGCTCTCCTCCCTCGGACTTGACACGTCTCTGATCGCTTATCGTGCCTGATGCGGTGTAAGTGCCGTGGAGGTAGCTGTTACACTGCGTTTTCGAAATTTATATTATTTTTTCCCAAATATGTTTGATCTGTGGTTGGTCGGATCTGCAGGTGTGGAGTGCTGAACGTATACCAAATTGATTATAGATTTTAATGTAAAACAGCAGCCCAAGAGTTCCATAAAATATACATAAACATTCATAAAATTACAGAAAAATTTCTAAGCCTCACCAAATGAACCTTAAATGTATTACTATGCCCATGCAAATACCTAGAGAGTCCAGGTCAAAGACTGTTAAACTGAACTGGATGATCCGAGGCCAGAAGTGTTTGCACAGATGCGGAAGATCGTTAACGCAGGGCTCTGCCGATTGCTGCCATTAAATAGAACTGTCCACACGCTCACAGAGCGATGGGCGGAGGTGGAAGACAGCAGTTCAGAAACGCAGAGACTCTTGGGCAGCCAGTGTGGGGACGTGCTCTACCCGACACTGGAGGGGAGCGCCTGCCGACCGCCCCGGGAGGCGTGGTTTTATCCATCAGACGGTCGAGTTCTGTGTGTACGAAGGGGGTTGGGGCTGGTGGGTGCTGCCCCAGGTGTGCGGTGGAGGGTGGCTCGGCCTGGGGTCCTCACGGGGGGCTGCCGGCCTGGCTGTCTAGGACAGTGCCCTGAATGGTGGGCAGGGGTGAGTACAGCCAGGCCCTACACCCCAGTGTGCCCCCTCTGGGCCCATCCGTCCCCGGGCCAAGCGACTGCAGACGGCTCCTCTCCTAGAAGGCAGGCCTGATCCAGGTACCCTGGGGAGGGCTGCTGGCGACTGTCCCTGAGATCCAACCCCTCCTGCTGCCTCAAGGAGAAGAGGGGTGGGGACTGCTTCCATGCCAGAGGGTCGGGCCTTGGATGAGGTTGGGGACAGGCGCTCTTGGTGGCCGTGGTCAGTGAGCCAAAGCCACGGGAAGGTCCCGAGCAGGGAAGGGACGTGATCACTCTGGCTGCTGTGAGAAGCGTCCGCTGTAGGGGCCACCGTGGAAGCTGGCCGTGACGGTGGGGGCTGCGTGCTCGTTCCAGGAGGCCGAGACCAAGGAGGAGGCGGCCGTTGCTGGGGAGAACGCTGCTGAGAAGGAGCGCGGGCAGGGGGGAGGCCCGAAGGAGCCAGAAGGGAACAGCAGAGGCTGTGCCGCGGCCGCGAAGAGCGAGAAGGAGCAGAGCCACCAGAGCGCCGCCCCGCAGGAAGTCACGGCCAGGTTGGGTGTGGCCCCTGGCGGGGGAGGTGGCAGCCTGAGGAGCCAGTGCCCTCTGGTCGGGGGCTTAGCTCCGTGGGAAAGGGGACTGCGCAGGAGGTGGGCGGGGAGGGGCACCTGTCCCAACTGCTATCTGCCCACAGTCCCTGGAGTCCCAGAGCCTTAGGGAGCTGGGGGGGCTGTCACCACCCCGACCCTGGCTGGGGCCTCCCTCGCTGCCCCCAGCACTCCAGAGGGGGGCAGGGTCGGCCACTGTGTGCCGCCTTCCTCTTCCTCCGTTTCAGAGGGACAGGAGAGAGGACTCACGCGGTGGGCAGGGTGCGTGTGCACTCGGATTGGTGGGCAGATTCTGCAACGACCAGATTCCTCCTTGGCTTTCCCGCAGCCCGCCGAGCCCCAGAGAAGGCGTCACGGTGTACTTCCACGCCATCCTCTCCAAAGACTTTGATTTCAACCCCGACCGCCATACGTTGTTTGTCCTCGGGGGAGGGGAGCTTGGGCAGCCAGAATGGAGGAGGAGTGTCTGCAAGCTGCACTGCACCAGGTGAGCGCCCAGTGGGGACTCTCAAGGAAGTTGATGGCGTTCCTAGTCTTTTGGAAGATCAGTGTCTCAGCCAAATGTCCCTGGCTGTGCCATTTGCGTTTCGTCATGGCCCTTTTTTCCTCGGTTCTGTCTGGAAACCGTGTCTTGTTCTAGAAGCCTCCTGGTGGTCAGCATTGGTTTGCACCTTTGGGTCTGCACTGCATGCTGTGTTTGAGAAGGACTGCGATTTCCGGCGTAGGATTTTGGGGTAACTGGCCATACCCCGTTATTCACAGGCACCTGCCCGAGGAGGGCTGGCTGGTCGAGGGCAGCACCGTCATTTCCAGGCGGCACCTGGACATACCCATCCCTTACAAGTACGTCGTTGGGCACGACAAGGGCTCTGGGGAGTACGAGTTCATCTACAAGATCCCGCAGAGGCAGGGCGAGCACGTCAACCGCTGCCTGTGCATAAAATCTTCACTCCTGGGCACAGGAGGTAAGTGCGGCGGGCTCCGCTCCGTGGGTGCCAGGGCTGCGGGACGGCCTCGCTCTGCAGAGCGCAGACTCGCCCGGTGCACGCAGGTCCTCTCTGGACCTCGGCATTCCGTGACGTTGACTTTGGGTCGTGACTTTGGGTCGTGTCTCTGGTCAGTCAGAGACACGTTGGCTCTCCCTTTAGCGCAGCGTGACTCACCGCTCACTTGCAGGAGGAAATGGAGAAGGATTTTTGATTACGAGAGAGGGGAGAAAATGCAGCTGGCGGAAGGGCTGGGTGCGGGTACGGGGCAGCAGGGGCGTGAGCAGGTCACAGGCATTCCAAAGCCCCATCCTAGGCTCCTGTGGCCTGTCGACCTGCGCACCTTTTGACCACCTGTCCACCTGCTGGTGCCCACTTGGGGGCTTCCCCTCCCGGCGGGGAGCACTGGAGCAGCGCCCTCTGGGGTCCCCACACCTCACTCCTGTCCTCCCTCCCGGTGCTCCGCCTGCACACTCTGCTTGTCTTGCTCGACCCTGACTCCCAGTCCCTGCACAAAGACCTGGGGACGAGTTCCTGCCCCGCAGTGACCTGTCCTACCCTTCGTTGCCTAGTGTGCAGTGTCTTGCAAACAGCTGTCTTGTTTATTTTGTTCCGTTGTTCGGTTGTTTAGGGTAGACACAGAAGAGTGTAAATCTAGTCCCTATTATTCTACGTTGGACAAAGACAGAGTCCCAGTAACTCTTTATAGTACACCTTTCTCTTTTCTTGCGAGTGTGGTTTCGATCGCTAGACAGTGCACTCTGAGAAGTTAAGCTTTGAGAAAATAGGCATTCGTCTGATAACCCCGTAAATAAACACGGAATTCCTAATATGATAAACGCCACCTGGATGCCCCAGTGAAAGGGACGCGTGGTGGGGATTTGGCCTGGAGGTCAGGAGAAGCTCGCCAGGAGGTGAGGACTGCGCCCACAGCTACACAGTCAAGAGTCTGGCAGCGCGGGGCAGGGCCGGCTGCACTCCTGGGGTGCAGCCGGCCAGGAGACCTTGGGAGGCCGTGCAGACGCGGGGCTCGCTGACTGACTTTCACCTGTGTGTATTCATGCGGCCTCTGGCCATCTCTCCGTCCTCTTTTGCTGTCCAATTATTTTACATTTGACCTCATCTGGTACCGCAGGACCACACGCATGCCCTGGGCACCTGGTCCTAAGCGCAGCCGTGAATTCAGGTCCCCCCCTGTGCCGGGTTCCCCGCCAAGGGCCGACAGCACTGGCACCACCGAGGAACCTAGCAGGGTGGTGCCCCATTGCTAGTGCGGGACCTCCCGGTGATCGTGTTTAAGGAACTCAGTTACCAGGCTTGCTGGGCCATGGGGTTAGATCTGTCATCGTATTTTCAGGCCCACTCAATCCTGTGAGCTCGGGTTTCTCTCCCATCACGGTGGGGAGTCTGGGCTGTCTGTCCGCACCGGGTAGGGGCCGACCCCGGCGCGGCGTGTGGACGGCGTCAGTTTGCCGGGTCTTTGGTTTTCCTCCTTCCTTCCCCTCCTCTGGCCCACTCACTCCCAGTTCTGCCCGTCACCATCAGCCCTCTAGGGCAGTGTCTGGGTCTCAAGGGTGTTCACCATCTTGGGTACAATACTGTTTTTCTGTCCCTCTTAGAGTGGCATCAGTACGATGACATAATTTGTATGAGGCCTCCTGGGACGTTCCAGAGAGTCCTGAACCACATAACAGATGGGACGAGGAGGTCGCTGGTGAAAGGGAAGCAGCGGGCCGCCACCGTGATGCTGGACAGCATCTTCAGCGTCCTCCAGACCTGGGATGCCATCAACTTAAACAGCTTCTTCACCCAGTTCCAGCAGTTTTACTCTGTCGTCCGAGCGCCCATGATCTACGAAGGACGCGCACAGCTGTGGAGCGATTTGCGCTATGGAGAGAAAGAGGTACCAGGCTTCCTCTGTGTCACCAGCTGCGTCACCTGACCTACTAGTGTCTGGATGACCCTGTGACCCTATGGGTCAGGGTGCAGGTGGGGGCAGGTCGCCTTCTCCGTCCTTCCCTCCTAGTGCCACCTCCTGGGCCCCCCTGCCCTCCCTGTGTCCCCCTCCCCCCCCCGGCTGCACATCTGAGCCCCCGCCTTGGCCCCGAGTCCTCCATGGTCTCGGGGCAGAGTGGACAGAGGGTGGAACAGCTTCTCCAAGCGGGGCTGTGGTCCGGATGGTCTTGAGGCAGCCCTGGAGCCACTTCTGAGGTGACCAGTGAACCCCTGTGAGCATTGAGGTCCCCACCTGAGAGTCCCCTTCAGGCCAGGGACTCTGGACCGCGCCTCTGTGTGCTCCCGCGGCTCCCAGCGGTGCGGCAGGGAGGCGGGGGCGGTGGGGGGCTGTGAGCCGTCCGTGGAGCCCTCCCTGCCCCTTGGGGCCTCGGTCCCCTGGCCGCTGCTGTGGAGCTCACGGCAATGACGGGCAGCTCTGGCCGCCTGCGACCGAGTCAACGCCGTGGTTCACGCCTCTTCCTTTTCTCCTGGGACCAGGTGAAGAAGGACTTGTGGGAGTATTTGAAAAAGCAAATGGACTCATTTCTGGACGGGTCGGGGGACTCTCTGCCTGACGGCTGCCCGGTGAGGAGCAGACTGAGAATGGGCCTGATCGTGCTTTTCTCGGTGGAAAAGTTCGGCTTGCCCATGTCAGAAGATGACCTGGACTTGCTGTGTCGCATGCTTGTCCCGGACGCCAGCTCACCGCACGACCTTCACGACGACCTCAGCCACATCCTCAGGACAGCTCAGAGGTATTGTGAATTTTTTTGTCAAGAGGTTTTACGGCCACTCGTAGGGATTTTATCTGATTGCAAAACACGTGCTGGACAGAATGGCTGGAAGCCCAGTGAGGAAGAAACAAAACCACCCCGGATTTTACCACTCGCTGTTGCCATTTCAGTGTTTCTTGCTCTAGCCTTTTCCTAGCACATGTATCATTTTAAACTTTATTAGATTCCACATGCTGTTGAATACCTGCTTTTCAGAAGCTCCGTGCTGTCTCACGCGAAGCCTCCGTGTGCGTGCATTTGGGGGTGTCGGGGCACGACGCTTGCCGCAGGTGTCCGGCTCGAGGGCGTGGGCAGGAGTGGCAGGCATTCTCTGCAGCCTCTGCCTGGAAGGTTTGCCGGAGACCCGGCGGTGGCCTTTGACCTGGTGGGGAGACCTCCTCAGACCCCCCGAGCCCTGATGGTCGCAGGGTCTGTTCACAGTGTTTTCTGTGGCTGTGCCACTTGGACCTGAGAGTAACATCAGGCAGGTTTTATTAGGAGATCTGCCTCTTGGTGTGGCAGATTACAACACCCGGCTCCCCCTGTGCACTTAGAAAAGGAGGAGGAAGGTGGCGAGGGGCGTGCAAAGCCACCCTCACGTGTCGGAGCGCCGACAGGCACTCGCGTTCCGTGACGTGAGGAAAGGCACCGGGCTTCGTCCGGGGGCTCGCCCCTCACGTTGAAAAAGTTGCTCTGTGTTTGGATTTACTGAGACCAGGTGGCCTGGACTCAGCTCCCAGCTCTGGCGCACGGCAGTCGGTTACGCAGCTCGCACCCCACTTCTCAGCCTCCCGCGTGGGCGGCAATAGCCCACCGGGGCTTTGCCGTGGGGATCCAGGGGCCCACGAAGGGCCCGAGGCACCAGGGTGGAGGCACAGGGGAGCGCGCAGGTGCTCGTGCGTGTGTGTGGGGTGTGCCCTTTCCCTGGGGACAGCGGAGCCAGTGGCCACCCTCGGCTCACGGTGGGGCCTCCGCTCCCCTTCTAGCTGGCGCCAGTACCTGGTGGCCCTGTGCCACTCGTGCGTCGACAAGCGGCTGTTCCGCTGGCTGGGCACGCTGCCCGTGCTGCACCACTGTGCGAAGCCGTCCCCTGGAGGGAAGGACACTGGGAGTCGGCCTGAGGACACCTGGGCAGCCCTCGAGGGTCTCTCCTTCTCGCAGTTCCGGGAGAAAATGGCGTGCCGGTAAGTCGCGGCGCGGCACTGGCGGGTGCAGATTTGGGACTGACGCCCGCGCCCCGCTGCCTGGAGCGCCAGTGGGCTCCACGGTGACCTCGGTCCCTCTCCTGACGGCGCGTGTGACATCCGCTTCTTTTAGCATTTTAAATCCTAAAACTGTAAAGAATGACGCAAAACTGACCTGCAGCCCTAGAGGTGACCGCCGTTGCTCTCACTGTGCATAGACATCCGGGCTTAGCACAGATGTGGGCTTGCGAGGGCTTCATGTGCTGGAAAGATGAGAAGGTGCCGTCAAGTGTCCGCCACTTAATGTTCTGTGACCTTTCCGTGTCCACACACACCTACATCGTTACCATGGCGACTGCTGAGGGCGCCATCTAAAGTCCGTGCCAACTGTCATTTGGCTGGTTCTCTGTTTTCGGGCATTTGGGCTGTTTCTGCAGCTTCGTTTAGTAATAATGTCACAAGCACCCTTGTGTTTCTGCTGTTCAGTATCCCCTCGAGATAAACGCCCGCAGGTAGCACTGCTAGGTCGAAGGCTTTGCGCGCTGTCAGCCGCGTGCACCTTTGCTCGCCGAGAGGAGCCATGGCTCTGTTATAATCCCGGTCCCCGACCCCAGCTCGAGGACCTCAACCTTGATCACAAGGAAATGCTACCGGAAAAGGTCTCTGGGGAAAGTTAGATGCATATTTAGCCGGGCGTGGTGGCTCACACCTATAATCCTAGCACTGTGGGAGCTGGAGCGGGAGGATCGCTCAAGGTTAGGAGTTCGAAACCAGCCTGAGCAGGAGTGAGACCCCGTCTTTGCTAAACAAAATAGAAAAAGATTAATTGGCCAACTAAAAATATACAGAAAAAAAAATTAGCCAGGCATGGTGGCACATGCCTGTTGTCCCAGCTACTCGGGAGGCTGAGGCAGGAGGATCGCTTGAGCCCAGGAGTTTGAGGTTGCTGTGAGCTAGGCTGACGCCATGGTATTCTAGCCTGGGCAACAGAGTAAGACTCTGTCTCAAAAAAAAAAGATGCATATTTAATTAACTTAATGACACGTGCATATTTAAAATCACATTATAAGTCATTATTAAATTACATTATAAGATAATATATTCATTTATATAATTTTTTTCTGCAACATTTTACCAAATAATTTCAAGCTCTTTGCCAGTTGAGGTGTTTCAAGTCAATGTGATTGTCTTATCCAAACAGTAATAGTCTATCCAACAACATTGACAATAACGAGCACCTTTTTAAAGGCTGGAGTTAGAGGTCACTCCTCCGTCTGCAGGATGATTGGGGAGAAGCCCTGGACCAATCGGAGATACGATGTGAATCCATCCTCTGCGGGCCATGCACGTCCCATTAAAAACTGCACTGTCGCACTCCCAACCAAGTACCAATGACAGGCTTAGTAGAAACAGAAAATAAAATCCTAAAATTTGTACGGATCCACAAAAAGCCCAAAGCAATCCTGAGCAAGCCTGCGCTCGCTCCGTCCCTAACAGGGCAGCGGCTGCTGCCGGAGGCAGAACTGTGTCTGCCTGTTTCCAACAGACTGACCTTCCACTTCCACTCAGGAGAAAGCCAGGAAAATGTTATTAGTTCTTAAAAAAGTTAATATAACATGATCGCTGAAAAAGGAACCTGAACCTCAGTGACCCCGCTGGGAGAATGCGCAGCAGGGGTGGCCGCGGCGGTTTAATGCAGCTGATTTTCTGTGGTTGTTGGTTCTCTCATTTTTTTGAAAGGACCGAGACGGGGTTGGGGGTTTGGTTCTCCACCAAGGAGTTGGATACTTTCTCGCTCTCCCAAGATGTGAGTAGGACAGACTTTGGAAGGACATGCAGAGTTCAGTCCTAGGTGACAAAAGCTGACAAGCAGGAAACTGCGTACTCAGAGAGTCTGGCTTTGAAGATGTGCTGCCACCCTCCTTCTGAGAGCTCGGTGCCCTGCGCAGCTCGCTCGGGTTACGGCGGATTTGACTCGATTCAGAGCCACTTGTCTTCTGGTAAGAATTCCACGAAGCCTGCTCACCGACGGCACCCACGCTGGAATTTCCATGAACAAGCGGAGTTCTTAATGCAGTTTTCCCAGGTGGAGCAGCACATTGACGGGACCTAAGAATTCTGGCTGTTGGCTCTTACATACTCCATTCCCAGAGTGGAGTTATCAGCCCCCAGGCAAACTCTGGAAACTCTGGTCCGGGAGCTTGACCCAGCAGTTCTGGAGCGGCTCCACATGACAGGCAGTGCTGGTGCCACGCGTGAGAGCAGAACTGTGACCTGATGCCAGGTTGTCATTGATGCCACACTGTTACTCCTTGTGGCTGTTCCGTGGACCGAATGAAATCGGTTGGAACTTACCGGAGTATTCACATCACTCCAGAACCAGAATTTTCCTATGTTGGCTTTGAAACAAACTTAAGTCAGACCTGCTGCGAAGGCCTGACCGGGAGAGCCGGGGGAGTCGAGACCACCTAGTTGGCTAACTAGAGTCCTGAGTGCTGCGTGCCACTTTCTGTGCCCTGGACGGCTAAAGGCTTTAAGCTTCTTGATCGCCAGAGTGATGTGTTCAGTGATTACAATTATTATTATTACTTTTTACCAGTTTTGCTAAGAAGCAGCAGCAATAGCAGAATTAAGAAAACTGAAGAAAAACTGCAAAAAGAGAACACACGTAGAAGGTGGCAGCTGCTTTCTAAATGCCAATACCAGGGACCACGCTCTCCATCACCACCACCTTGCGCCTGCAGAAGCCCCAGCTGTCACGATAGTTAATCGGTTTGAATTGTATGCGTTATTGTAGCAAAGAGGTGAATGCCGTCTTCTGTTTAGGTCTTCTGTGCCACTCTTGCTGTGAAATTGGAACACATGTAGAAAAAACCTTTTACTATGTGAAACATTATAACACTTGTAAAACCAATTCAATTTGGTTTATGCACAGTGTAATATTTCTCCAGGTATTGTCCAAAATTCCCCAGAAACAATGATTTTTTTCCCTCTTTGGATGTTGGCCTCAGCCTAACCATCTGGGACTGTTTTATTGCTGCCAGAATTTTAAATCCCGTTACCTCCACTTTCTAGAATATATTCTTTACTAATGTTATGTTTATCGGAAACAGTTTCTACTTAATATGGATGTTTTTTACAACAGCAATTAAAGTTTTTGTTCCACAAGAAAAAAAAATAAAAGCAAAGTGGGAGGTATCACGCTATCATGCCTCAAATTCTACTACAAAACAGCATGGGATTGGCATAAAAACAGACACATAAACCAATGTAACAGAACAGAGAACCAAGAAATAAATCCACGTATTTACAATCAGCTGATTTCTGGCAGAGGTGCAAGTACATTCACTGGGGGAAGGACACTCTCTTCAATAAAAGATGCTGGGAAAACTAGATATCCATATGCAGACGGATATGAAACTAGGCCCTTATCTCTCGCTAAATACAAAATATCAAGTTGTAGTGGATAGAAGACTGGAATAGAAGACCCAAAACTATGAAACTACTGGAAGAAAACATCGGGGAAATGTTTCAGGACATTGTTCTGGGCAGAGATTTTATGGATAAGAACTCAAAAGCACAGATATCAAAAGGAAAAATAAGCAAGTGGGATTATATCAAACCACAAAGCTTCTGCAAAGCAAAGGAAACTATCAACAGGGTGAAGAGACAACCTGCAGAATGGCAGAACATATTTGCAAACTATTCATGTGACAGGGGATTAAAAGAACCCCAACAACTCAACTGCAATAAATAAATAAATAAATAAATAGTAATAATCTGATTAATAAATGGGCAAATGAGCTACATAGACATCTCAAAAGAAGACATACAAATGGTCAATAGGTATATGAAAAAATGCTCAACATCACTAATCATGAGGGAAATGCAAATCAAAACCACTAAGAGATATCATCTTATGCCAGTTAGAATAGCTGTTACCAAAAAGATTTAAAAAAATCCTTGTGATTATGCAGAGAAAGGGGGGCTCTTACACACTGTGGGAGTACAAATTAGCATAGCCACTATGGAGGACAGTGTGGAGGTTCCTGAAAAACCTAAAAATAGAACTACCCTATAATCCAGCACCCCACCACTGGGCGTTTATCCAGAGGAAAGGCAATCAGGGTATCAAAGAGGCATCTGCACCCCATATTCCCTACAACACTGTTCACAGTAGCCAAGATGTGGAATCAACCTAAGCGCCCATCAACAGATGAATGGAGAAAGGCAATGTTGTACATATACACAGTGGAATGCTATTTAGCCATAAAAAGGAACCGAATTCTGTCATTTGCAGCAACATAGATGAACTTGGAGGACATTATGTTAAATGAAATAAGCCATGCACAGAAAGGTAAATACCACATGTTCTCACTCTTACCTAGAAACTAAAAAAGTTAACCTTATAGAAGCAGAGAGCATAATAGCGGGCATTAGAGGTGGGGAAGTGTAGGGGGGAGGGAGAATAGCCAAAGCTTTCTTATAGATGCAGAGCTAAAAGTTAAATGAAAGGTAAAATGGAATACTAAAGTAAAAATGTCTCACCAATTAAGAAAGTCAGTCCAGGCACAGTGGCTCACGCCTGTAATCCCAGTACTCTGGGAGGCTGAGGTGGGAGGATTGCTTGAGCTCAGGAGTTTAAGACCAGCTTGAGCAAGAGCAAGATCCCATCTCTACAAAAAATGGAAAAATTAGCTGGCTGCGGTGGTATGCACCTGTAGCCCCTGCTACTCGGGAGGCTGAGGCAGGAGGATCCCTTGAGCCCAGGAGTTTGAGGTTGCAATGAGCTATGATGATGCCACTGTACTCTAGGCAGGGCAACAGAGTGAGACTGGGTCTCGAAAGAACAGAAGGAATGCAGGGAGGGATGCAGGGAGGAAGGAAGGAATAGCAGAGGAGCATATGGCAGACATGACAAATAGAAATCAGATATCAAGATGGCAAAAACCAGTAGAGTGGAGAGGAGAAATAGGTAAGCCTGCAACGCCATTTGGAGCTTTCAGCCTCTGTCATGGTAGGGCACAGTGCGGATGTAGGTGACCTAGACAGCAGCGCTCCTGACCAAGGGGGCCCGACTGGCACCTGTGGAACTCCCCGACAGTGGCAGTGTGCACATCCAGCATTGACGACGAAACAGCTCTCGTGACGTTGAAGAGGGTTCGAGTCCTGCGGAGGGAGCGTGTTCCTTCACCCCAGCTGAGCTAGCAGAAAGACACCTGGAAAAACCCTAAATATTTGCAAATGTGACAGCACACTTCTAAATAATTCAGTCTCGTGGTAAGATTTCTCAGAGAATACATAGAAAGCATGATCTATGAAAGGAAAATTAGAAATCAAATTTTAGTATAAAAATTAAATTAAAAAACATCCAAATTAAATATGAAAAAAATTAGTACTACTGCTAATTCCCAAGCACAGGCAACTGCTCCCATTTATTTTGTCTTTTGGCGGGGACACTACTCCAAATCCCGTCCGCCTACAGCAGCCCCCTGCCCCACCCCAGTAGCAGCCTGCGGACGTTCAGGGTGAATGAGTGAGCTAAGTCATTGTTTCTTCACTGTTACTGGGACCCTTTGAAATTAAAGGCAAACTAAAATTATTTATATGATTATATGTATTTTAAATGCCCTTCAAAGGTATAGCAACTATATGGAAGAAATTTAGTTAACACTGGGCTATGGCCAGACACCAGCGTCGGTCCTAAACACAACCTTTCAGGTGACAGTGGCCTTTTGTATGCAGTGGGCCTTTATCGATAGGCTTTTCATGACTTCAGTCACTTCTGTGTTTATTTTGACAATTGCCAGCTTTTGGAGCCGCAGCGCAGTGCCGTAGAATCAGCATCACTTAAGGGCCTTTGCTGAGCTCGCCTGGAACCCTTTTTTGTGGTAAAACAGACATGATGTAGAATTCTCCGTGTTGACCACTGTTGCGTGCACAGCGTCCTGCGTTAAGGACGTCCACATCACTGTGCGGTTGTCACCACCATCCCGCTCCAGAACTTTCTCATCTTCCCAAACCAAAACTCTGTCCCCATTAATCATTAGCCTCCCATTCCCTGTCCCCTTAACCCTGGTCACCTCCCTTTTACCGTCTGTCTCCACACGCTCGACTTCTCTGGGGACTTTGCACGGGTGGGACCAGCAGTATCTGTCCTTCCGTGCCTGGCCCTTGCCACTCAGCACAATGCTGCTGAGGTTCATCCATTTCCGTGAATTCCTAATATGCTACTGCTTACTTTCCATTCGATTCATTACTGATTTTTGTTTCCCACGTAGCATTTAAGCATTTAAGCATTTAAATATTTTTTTTTTTTTTTAGATGGAGTCTGACTCTGTTGCCCTAGCTAGAGTACAGTGGTGTCACCATAGCTCCCTGCAGCCTCAAACTCCTGGGCTCAAACAGTCCTCCTGCCTCAGCCTCCCCAGTAGGTAGGACTACAGGTGTGCATCTCTGTGCCCAGCTAATTTTTCAATTTTTAGTAGAGATGGGGTCTTGCTCGTCCTTAGGCTGGTCTCAAACTCCTGGCCTCAAGCGATCCTCCCGTCTCCGCCTCCCAGAGTGCTGGGATTACAGGCATGAGCCATCACACCAGGCCCACGTAAATCATTTTTGAAACCTTCCTGGAGGCCCCAGCACTATTTTCATTTGTCTTAACTCTGTCTGTTTTACTGCTCTCACTGCGTCCTATTTCTCTGTCCCTGTTTCTCTTATACAGGAGCGAACCACTTCAGTTTATGGTAGGGAAGAGGCATTTGCTGAATGTAGACGAATATCTCTTCCGATCCTGGTTTAGCCTGCTGCCTCTGAGTGACTTGGCTCAGTATATGAAGAGCTTTGTTGAATACCTGGGCCATTTTCCTGCTGGTGTCCTGGACCTTCTTCTGGGGACTTACTTCCGGCTGCGAGGACTTACGGAAATCTCTCACCGAAATCTGGAGGTCTGTCGTCTCTTGAGTCTTTGCTTAGCAAAAGTAGACTGAAAACTAGGCATTGAAGGCTCTCCATCTCCTTTTCTGGAAAACGGACAGGGTGAAGCACCAAGAAACAAAAGAATCTGGAGAAGTCATTATTTCTTAGTGCTCAAGGTTGATTTCTTCGAGTTTATTCTGTTTCAGTGAGAGCTGTTCATGGAGACTGTGGCCTTCTGTCATTTCTGACAAGAAAGGGTTGGGCCAACGTGATCGCTTGGGATGCACTTCATAGATGCTGTTTTTCCTTTCACAGTTTTTGGGTGGCGAAAATAACTTTAAATTTTGAGTTTTATTTGTGAGACATACAAGATTAGTATATGAGCATGGTAAAATCTGTAAGAAGGAAAGCATTTATATCTTATGTACGTTGGATTTTTTCCAGCTCCGTTTTTAGCAATGACAGTGGTGTCGTGATTAATCTTCTTTCCTGTTTTTCTTTTCTTCACCATCCTAGGATGTTGAAAGTGTTTTAAAGATGCTGTTGCACCTCCTGGGCGCTTACCACCACAAGTAAGTAGGAAAGCAGAGCGCAGCCTCTCTCGGGCCCCAGGCTCTCCCTGTCACTGCCCCGGCTGGCAATCCCACACGGGCAGCCGTAGCAGGAAGGTGACAGCGCTTGGCCGGCTTCTCCCTACAGGCCATCAGTGCAGTCATCTGAGTCCTTTCAAGGGATGTGATAGATGTCAGCTGCTAAGATTTTGGATTGTTTCCACTGCCCTTTACATTTATCCATCTATTTTTAAGCGATCATCATATTTGTGTTTGTGTGCTGCATTTCTTTAACATTTAGCCTTTAGATGTTTTTTCCAAAACACGTAAAGCCGAAAATAAGCATCCAAGGTAGCTTCACGAAATTATCAGAAGTCATTTGTGTCTGCAAGTGTGTGTGCTCTGACGCCCTGTGGCGCGAGTGTGCGGAATGCAGGACAGCAGAAACGTCCCAGGGAGCGACGCATGTTCTGACTCTCGGGGCACTTCCAGCGTTCGCTCACCGGGGCTCCCGGGTGATCAGGAGGCAGGCGGCAGTGCCGTGTCTCCATCCGTGGCGAGCACCTGTGACTGCAGGGCCCCAACACTGTGTCCCAGAGTCACCCAGCAAGTCCTTTCTCATGGCGCCCCCAATCCGCCTTCTCACCCACCCGCCGCCTCCCAGCTCTGCCCCGGGAGTCAGGAGCACAGGCCCGGTCCGCAGAGTCGGGTCGGTGGGGACGCCACACGCACCGCGTGCTCTCCTGCCACTTCCTTCCGTCTCCCCCTTTCCCGTTTTCTTTATCAACATTTTAAACAATTTATGTAGTATTTTAACATTTAGTAATATGTGTCCCTTGCTTATTTTCAAATAAGGGAATGCACTTAGAAATATTTTAACTTGCTTTTGTTAGAACAGTTGAGACTACAGAGGCAAAACAAAAGGGCTTTGTTTCCATTTTATCGTAGTCACTTCTTAAAGACCGATGGAAAAATTGTCCGGGTGTTAGCCGAGATGAGGTCGAATAAAGCCTCGCAGTTAGTTATCTTAAAGGGAAGGGACTGGGTTGCCGCACTGGGTACCGTCCTCTCGTTTCTCCTCAACGACTGCAGTGCTTTCTCTCCACTCCTTCCGGGGCAGCATTCCCGAGGAGACCTTGTCACAGTCCTACCCGGCCGTGTGCCTGAGGCTGCACGAGGCCGTCTGCAGCGTCACCAAGATCCGGGGCTTTTATGAGATTCCCGCCTTGTCGGCCGAGATCGTCCGCACTGTTGTCGCTCTTCAGCCCGCCGTGGTGAGTGGGGTGGACGCACCCGCGTCCTGCCCAGGGTCGGTGTGGAATTTAAGCAGCCTCGATTACAAAGGGACCGGACTCAGTTCTCGCATGGCTGGACCAAGAGTGAAATACGGGTCGGGCACCCACGCGACGCAGGCTTGGTCCTGGGCACTGAGGGTGTCTCGGGTGCGCTCTGCCTCCTGCGCTCCCTCGGGAGGGAGGGAGTTCCCATGTGGCCCTCCAACGGCCCCCGGAGGTGGAAGAGCTGTTCAGCCAGGCCTCGCCTGCGCGGCGACCTTGCGCTTTCCCAGGCTGCGTTGTCCACTGTGGACCGTGGGGACCACGTTCCCCCCAGACACGCACGGGAAGCACGGTCCTTCCCACGCGTGCGTGCGTCTTTTCGTTGCAACTGGAATGCAGCAGCCTGGCACACAAGGCCACCCGTGTGTCCTCAGGCACACGCCCGCGCGCCAGGCCCGGCCCCGGCCCCTCTAGGACCCTGCCTCTCCGAGCCCCCCTGTCCCCGCCCCCGTGAAGGCGCCGCCCTTCCTGCCTCTTCCCCCAGCGCTCGAGTTCTGTGTCCCACTGTTCACGAGGCATCGTGTCTCTGAGATGTGTCCGCATGGTTGGGGATACCAGTGGTTCCCTGTCCGTTTCTGTGCGTCAGTCCCCCACTCTGGGCCTCACTGTGAAAGTGATATAAGGTTTTACGTCTGGACTGGCCGTTAGTTTTGTAACCTTACTCAAGTCAGAACTGTGACTTTAGTGATAGAAAACAATCTATGTTTAACCTTCACTCCTTTCCGTTTTTCTTCTTTGAAATGACACAAACACACTTTAACCATCAGTATCGCTGCAAGATGATCCGTTTCTCCAGGAGCGGTGCTATTTAAGCCATCTCAGGCAGGTGCCAGCTTCCAAATAAACTATGTTTAAGAAGTTTTTCAATTTTGAATTAAGGGATATTTGGGATATGTTTTCTGCAGAAATAACTCTCTTCAGTGTTGGTTGGGATCTTAGATTAGTCTGATCCACATTATGGTCAAAATACTTGGCTTGTGCCATAGCAACAGAGGAAAAGCTTTGAAATACTAAAATTAAACAAAGCAAAACCACATGACGTGTGTCTACAAACCCCTTGGGTGGACGCTGCTGTACGGGCCGTGGGACTGCCAGGGCGCTCGGTGGGAGCCCCCGGGAGCGCAGTAGGGAGGTCTGGGGTACACATGTAGCCTTGGGGGGTTTTCGGCGTGTGTCACTGTAGAGCCTTGGCCGGACCCGTGTTGGGCAGTGGATAGAGGTGGGAGTGGCGTGTGTTGGGGCTGTCGCTGCAGTTAAGGGGGTGCCAGGGGCCGAAGTTTCGTTCGTGGCAAGGGCAAGACCACAGGGACAGAAACGCCATGCTGAGGCTTCTGGGTGGTTCTAGAAGGTGCGGTGCCATCCAGGGACCTTCGGCAAGTGCCTGTTCCATTTTCAGTGGAGACCCCCACCCCCTGCATCCCGCCTGGTCTCCCTGTGCGCTCCCAGCCACGCGTGAGGGACACGCAAGCCTGTCAGAGGCCCAGCTTCCAAGAGCACTTTAAGCTCCCCGCGACCCCGGCCGCCCTCTGCCAGCAGGCGGGGTCTCCTCCCCCCGCCCCCTTTACACCTTTTGAAAACTACCTTCCTGTGTTTTCCTGTCCTGCTGGCACTTGCTGTGGTCAGGGATCACGTCTATGTGTCTATCTCCCTGTGGACAGTGCGTCTCTCTCACTGTGGCTAGCTCCTCCTTGGCCACCACACCGCCCAGCCTCGAGGTTCCCAGGGAAGGTCTAGGGAGGGTGACCAGCAGGTCCAGGCTGGGGGGGGGGGCTGTGTTATAGACACATAGCACGGAACGGGAGGGGGGCTCCTCCCAGGAGTGGGGGCCTGGTGCCTGAGCTGTTGTTTAGGGTCACTGTGCTTCCGCTGAGCAAAGGTGGAGAGGCTGAAGGGAGGGGATGGGGGAAGGGATAGAGGGGGGATGGGATGGAAGGAGGGGAGAGGGGAGGGGAGAGAGGGATGGAGGGGGCACCACTAGGGCCTGAGCCCCGGGGAAGAGGCTGTCCTGTGGGGAGGGATGAAGGGAGCTGCCTCACCAAGAGCAGGCGGCGATGGGAGGGGCCTTCAGTTTGCCTCTTGGCCAAGGGGCAGGCTGTCCCTTGTCACTGAGGAGCAGGGCCCGGGGAGTCTGCCTGCAGGCTTGTCTTGGCTTCTCTGGGGCTCTGCGTTGGGGTGCTCTTGCTCGCCCGCTCTGCCCCCTAAGGTCAAGGCTTGGGCGTCTGCCTGGGCTCTCCCTGCCGGGGGACGTTAGTGCCATTCCTTCTCCCCTGCTTTTTTCTCGTGTCTCCCTGTCGGGGTGAACCCAGCAAGCACTGGGGAAACGAATGTGCTTTTGCAAGGTAGGCGTCCGGCCAGGCCCGTGTGCCCCTGGCGCGTGGCTGCGCCCCCAGCACCCACCGTGAACGCCAGGGGAGCAGCAGGGCGGGGCCTCGAGGAGAAGCTCCTCGCCCCCGCGCGGCGGGACACTCAGCCCCTCTCTTGTGTGATGACAGGACTCAGGAGGACGCGGGAAGGAAGCCAGGAAGAGTTCGGTTCCGACACTCTCCCAGGGGACTCTGGCTGCTACTAGAGCTTGGCTCCACAGAATTCTTAAGAAGAACATGTTCCAGGAGACACGTTCATCTGTCTCACTCACTTATTCCGAGGAAATCCAGGTAGGCCCTGCTGATGGCTTTTGGGTAGGGACGTGGTTCATCACAAATTTGTGGAGAGTTGTGGCCACGGGCTGGTGGCCAGGCGCCCGCTGTGAGCCTGCACGTGTGAAGTGGCGGCTCTGCCGTCCCTGGCAGGTCCTTCCTGGGCAGACAGGAGACACCAGGGGTGAATGCTGCCACCCAGCACCCGGGCTGGGCTGTGCTGCCTGGGGTGGCGAGGGCGCCCCCCCATCAGGAAAGGTGCTCCGCGGCCGTGGTGTGCAGGGCAGCACCTGGGCGCACCTCAGTACCGAGGTGATGGGTCAAGTTGTGACCTCAGAAGTGGAAGGAAAGGTGACAGGAAGAGCAGTTTGCGGATCTGGATCTGGGAAAAAGAGAATCCAGCACAGGATGGTGGGGAGTGGGGCGGGTTCCACCGAGAGACGAGCCGGGCAGAATCTCGGGCACAGGCTGGTAGCAGTGAGGACGTGGAAGCTGCTGGATTTGGAAAATGGTTGCGGGCGACCCTGTGAGCTAGGCCGGCGGTGGTCGGGGAGGGCTGGGGGAGGGGCGGCCAGGATGCTGCCTGCTCTGCCTCCTTCTTGGTGTCATTCTGTCTCTCCTGCGTCCCAGCAGTTGTGAAGGCCATACCTTTTGAGCCAGGTGAGCTTCCAGGGTGCGAGGCGGACCACAGGCCCCCTCGTGATCGTGCTTGGGGAGAGATTTGGTCTCATAGTCCGCGTGAAACGTGAGCACCTCTGGCTTGTGGACCAGGTGCGCCCTTGCGCAGTTGGCTGCACATCCTATCTCTGAAGCGAAGCCCATTTCCCTGGAAAACCAGAGGCGTGGTTTTCTGAGAAAAGTCACTGAGAAAAGTAGCTGCAAGAGCAACACGGGCAAACAGAATGCTGATGGTTAGTAGTGGTTACGCCTTGCTCCTGGTGCCAGCGTCAGTCCCTGTGTGTGACGAGTGGCTCTTGTGGGAGGTGGCCCCACACGGGCCTATGCCATAGAGCAGTCAGTGGCTTCCTTGCAGCGTCTGCCTGATGACTACATCTGTGCCTCACAGTGAACTTCCAGACTTTTCTGTCTCCTAACAAGACCCAGGCCTCCAGCCACTGCCCGTTTTCTGTCAAGAATGAAAGTTCCAGATTTCAACATGTGACTTTTTTTAGATGAGGTTTTGCTCTGTCCCCTGGTCTGGAGTGCAGTGGTATCATCACAGCTCATGGCAGCCTTGAACTCCTGGGCGTAAGCGATCCTCCTGCCTCAGCCTCCCGACTAGCTGAGACTGCAGGGGGAACACCCTGCTGAGCAACTTGTGACTTTTAAAGAATAAGAAAATCCTTCTCTGATTGCTGTGTTCAGACTCACAGACTTAAATCCTGCCAAAACAAAATTGATTTATAAAATATTATTTCAAGATTCTAAATGATATGATCCCCCAAGCATTAAGTGTTAGTTAGGGACAGCCATTGACCCACAGACATGACAGAATGATTCTAAGTTAAATGCAGTAATACTGGTGGTAAAAATTAAAATGTAATTATTACTAAACAGCTACTCTGAGGTCGATAGTGTTGTTATCCGGGTTTTATAAAGGAGGAAACTGAGATTTGGGGAGATGCAGGTGCCCTGACATTGTTGAAAGCCAGAGTTCTTTCTCCCCGTGGAGAACGGTGCCCTGAGAGCCCAGATGGGTCTCATGGGCCTGTTCACACGAGGCTGAGGGGGACCATCACCCTGGGGAACAGGTGCAGCCGCCACGGGAAGGTGTAGGTAGGTGACCAGGCTTGACCTACAAAAAGTGCATTTTCATATGGTTCAGCCTCACAATGTTCCTGCCAAAAATATCTTAATCTGAATCAAATTCTGGGAAAAGTATGAGACAAACCAGGTCAAGATACAGTCCACGAAAAAACTAGCCTGAACTTTTCAAAACTGTCAACATCATAAGAGAAAAGAGGCCAGGGACCCTTGTAGAAAAGAGAGTTGGTAATGAAGTGCAGCATGTGTCTGCAGGTCCAGGCGGTCAGGACAAGGGGGACACCTGGAGCAATGTGGGTGGGGACACCTTAGAGTATCCTCTCCATGATGACCGTCCTGAACAGGACATTTGTCCCACCGCTGTGGAATGGAAAAGCAGGAGTGTCGTGAAGTCTGTGACCGACCTTCAGATGTTTTGGTGCAGAAAATGCCCTAGTGGAAAGGGGCTGAGGAAAGAGAGGGGAGATAGAGCCACTGTGTTAAACCGACAACTCGGGACTGCGGTCAATATGGGTGTTGTTGTGCTGTTCTTGCAACCTCTCTGTAAGTTGCAAAGTTTACACAATAAAATGTTGGAAGCAAATGCTTCCAGAATAAAAGGCAGTGACATAGCAGGAAGGCCGGGGACATGCACGGGTGCGTCGGGAACCCAGCTCTAGAAGGCCGAGCTGAGCCGCCACTGGGACTTGCCACTAGCACAGCTGGCTGGTGGCCAAGGTGGGGCCCGGGTGTCCCTGCAGCCCTGCTCACTGTCTCATCGCGATGGTGTGTCTTTCTCTTGTTGCCCGTGAAGGCCCACACTGTGGCCTTCAGTCGTCACAGCGGCTGTGACTTGTGTGCGGGTTTTGCAGGTCTGGCGGCGGCTGGTGGAAATAGACTTCCCCGCGGAGCACGGTTGGAAGGAGTCGTTGCTGGGAGACTTGGAAGGGCGGCTCAAACAGGTACCAAAGTTGGGGGACGTTCCTTTCTGGGAGGGAAGGAAGGGTGGAAGCCACCAGACCACTGGCGACAACCAGCGACAGGAGCGGCCTGTCTGAGCGCACGGCCTCTCCGTGCGCAGGGCGCGGGATAAATCTCCACTCCGAGTCTCTGTTTCTGACCCAGAAGGCTGTCGCACAGCTCTGCTGTGACGTTGCAGAGAGTAACGCGGGCACAGCATCTGGCCATCATGGGTCCCCCAGGCACACGCGGGGTCCAGCCCGCCCACAGGCAGCGGCTCCGGTGGCCTGAGGCTGTCAGGAGCCTCCCAACACAGGGACAAGTGGACAAAGCACGGACATGGCCTTCATTTGAGCTAAGGCCTGCGACCCTAGGAAATGAGTTTTTACATGAGAGTTTTCTATGTAACTGTTCAGTGGATCTTATTAAGGAAAAATGAGTTATTTCCCACAGTCTGCCTGTTTTTGTGAGCTGCTGTGCTGAGTTCTTTTTCTCTGGAGTTGGAAAGGAAACACTTCTTTTAATTTTAGCCTTGCTGGTCCGACGGCGGGAGGTGGGGAGGACGTGCTTGGTGCGGGGCAGGAGGTTGGAATCGTGGGAAACTGGCAGAGTGGTGGGAAAATAAAGACACCTGGCACTTCCCCATGGAGTGTCAGAGCTCGGCGTGCAAGCGCTCCTAACCCGCCTCCCATTTGCGCAGGAGAGGCCCCTCTTGCAGATCCGGGCCTACTGCAGCTCCCGCTGGGACTCCGCGGGCTCAGAGGACGCTGTGGCCAAGACCTTTGAGAAGTGTGTCATTGAAGCCGTGAGCTCAGCCTGCCAGGTGACCAGCGTCTGCTTCCTGGTAACGGGGTCCACTGCAGTCCTGCGCTGGTGGGACTGGGAACGGGAGTGGGCGTGCCCTCCGCTCGCCTGGGGGAGGGGCCGAGACCCGCGTCTCCCCGGGCTCCCTGGAACGCCACTCAGCTTCCGCTGCTGGATGGCTGTCGGGTGCCGTGTGCAGTCACGGCCACTCTCACGTGACATCCCTGTTATCATGGCTACTGGTTTATTTTACTTTCTGCTAACACTTGCTTAGCGAATATGCAGTAAAAGACTCCAAGGATTGAGCAAACATTTATGGAAGGCAAACATGTGAAGCTGAAAAGTTTCTATCAGTTTACTTAGATTTTTTTCTGCAAAGTGGGAAGAGATTCTGCCCCACTGCCTGGAAGGCACAGCCTTCTGTGCGATCCCGTGTGATGGAGGCTCCTGCAGCTCCCAGCTCTCTCGCTTGAGTTTCCTAACTGGACACCTTGAGCCCCGCTCACGCACTGGCCTCAGTACTTATATCTAAGTACTTTATTTTTTGGATGCACTTGTAACTAGAATTGTTTTCATAATTTCATTTTTGGATTATTGATTGGTAGTGTATAGTAATATAGCTGTTCCTTGTACCTCGTATCCTGTAACTTTGCTGAGCTCATTCACTAGTTCTAATAGTGTGCATGTGAGAGACAGAGATCATGTCATCTACTAATAGAGAGGGTTTTATTTCATCCATTCCAATCTGAATGCCTTTTATTTCTTTCTCTCTCCTAATTGTCCTCGTTAGAACCTCCAGTACAATGTTGATTAGAAGTGGCAAAAGTGGGCATTCTTGTCTTGCTCCTGAATTTAGGGGGACAGCTTTCTATCTTCCACCACTAGGTATGATGTTATCTGGGGCTTGTTCAGGGATGCCTGTTATGAGGTTGAGGAAGTTCCTTTCTAGTCCTAGTTTGTTGAGTGTTTTTTATAACAAAGGGCAATCAGAGTTTGTCAAATGCTTCTTCTGTGGCTATTGAAGTGATCATGTGATTTTCTTCTATTGACATTAACTGATGTTTGATGTTAAATCAACTGTTCGTCCCTGCAATAAATTCTACTTGATCATGGTGTATAATTCTTTTTAAAATATGTTTCTACATAAGGTTTTCCTTTACTCTTTTAAATGTCAGGAAGTATCTATTGTAAATTCACCCTGTGTTTTTGGCTAATTATTGAAACTTTTGCAAAGCTTTGGACCTAAAAAAGAAAAGGATTTTCTTTCTTGGGGAGAATTAGAAAGGGAATTAAAATGTATGTGTTGTTTGTAGGCAGTTTTTTAAAAGAATTACAGTTCAGTGGCTGGGTGCGGTGGTTCACTCCTGTAATCCTAGCTCTCTGGGAGGCCGAAGCGGGCGGATTGCTCAAGGTCAGGAGTTCGAAACCAACCTGACCAAGAGTGAGACCCCATCTCTACTATAAATAGAAAGAAATTAATTGGCCAACTAATATATATAGAAAAAAAATGAGCCGGGCATAGTGGCACATGCCTGTAGTCACAGCTATGCAGGAGGCTGAGGCAGGAGGATCGCTTGAGTCCAGGAGTTTGAGGTTGTTGTGAGCTAGGCTGACGCCACGGCACTCACTCTAGCCCGGGCAACAAAGTGACACTCTGTCTGAAAAAGAAAAAAAAAAAAAAGAATTACAGTTCAGGAACATAAAGTATATGATGTATTAAAGGTTTATTCATTTTTGGTATGTTTCATGACATGAAAGTCCAGGAAAAATGTAGAAACTGGCCAGAAATGTTGAAAATGTGAGCTAGAAGGAAGGAATGTGATTTGTGGGTTGTACTGGTGTATGCCTGTGGAAGACAAGGAGACAGTATGCAGGAAAACAAAGATGCTCTAAGAAACGTTAAGTATCTTACTGCTTTACTTTTTTTGAGGCCTTGGAATATAGTTACAATATATTTCTGAAATGCCATTGAAGGGTAATTTACTTTTATCATCTAAAATCAAACCAATAAAAAACTTCTAAATTTCCCTCTTTTATTAATTTTCTTATAGTCACAGAGGAGTATCCTTGAGGGAGTCTCTTACCACGATTTGCAGAAATTCGGCACCCTTGTGTCTGCCGTGATCACCAAGTCCTGGCCTAGAGACAGAGGGAAGGCCGTGGATGACCTGGATGAAATTTTTAAGCACCTGCTCACGTGGCCGGATGTGAAGCATCTTTTCAGACTGTGTGGTATGCTTTGGTGGGCGACGGGGGTGCTGGGAACGTCAGCTCGGTGTAGCCGGTGTCCTCCGGAACTTGGGGAGCAACAGGGAGCGGAGTATTTGAGCCAATACTCAGTGGGGATGGGCTGACGTTTGATAAAGGGAGCAGACTGGACAGAGGAAGGCTCCGATGTCTTGCACTGTAAAGAATAGCTCGTACTAAAGCCACCACTTGCTGAATGCCTACTGTATACCAACAACTGTGCTAACACAGTGTCCTTGAGCTAGTGCTTTCTAAATGGCCTTTATAAGGCCCCAATTTTCAGAGGAAGAAACAGAATTAGAGAATGCAATGGGAGTTACCCAAGGTCTCAAAGATTATAAATATTAAGAACCATTAATATTATAACATCCAACCCCAAGTGTGTCTTGGTCTCTAACCATTCTCTGTTATGCGGAGATGAGTGAAGAACGTCTAACCCAGTACTGATGACCATAACAGACAGTGAAGTGCTGCACTGTCTGATTCGTTCACCCTGCCCCTCGCCCCAAGTATATTGTGATCCCAGAGGGAGAGAGACATACTGGCCTAAAAATGTTATAAGCAAGTTTATGTGTAAGACATTAGATTCTGATCTTTTGGTAGGAAAGCACTGGGTTTGGAACTAAAATTCCCAGGTTAGATGATTATGAGTCCCAGTTTCATGAGATGACTGGGACAGCAAAAACAAAAACAGAAATAAAAGAACCTAAGCACCTTACATGTCAGGGTAATTGTGGAGATACAGTATTTATAAGATCATTGAGGTGGGACAGCAGTACACATTAGTGAAAGCTACTCACTTGAAAAGATTGTATTTGTGTTATTTAAATTAGTAAACTTTTTAGAACACTTGTGCCGTACCCCATTATCAGCAGGCTGCATTAGTATGGTACATTTTTTATAAATGATGATCCAGTGTTGATACATTATCATGAACTTTGAGTCCATAGCTGACATGAATGTCCACTCTTGGTGTTGTGCATTCTGTGGGTTTGGACAAATGTATCATGACACATGTCACCATGACAGCATCACACAGAATAGTGTCAATGCCCTACAAATCCTCTGTGCTCTGCCACCCTTGCTCCCTCCCCTTTAGTCTTTCCTGGAATGTCCTGTAGTTGGAATCCTGTAGTATGCAGCCTTTTAGATTGGCTTCTTTCACTAAGCAATATAGAGTTGTTTCCTCCATGTGTTAGTAGGTCTTTTTTTTTTTTTGAGAGACAGGGTTGCAATGTTGCCCAGCTTGGAGTCAGTGCTAAAATCATAGCTCATTGTAACCTTAAACTCCTGGGCTCAAGCAGTCTTCCTGCCTCAGCCTCCTGAGTAGCTGGGACTATAGGTGCAAGCCACCATGCCTGGCTAATTTTTTAAAAATTTATTTTGTAGAGACAGGGTCTTGGTCTGTTGCCCAGGCTGGTCTTGAACTCCTAGCCTCAAGTGACTCTCCTGCCTCAGCTTCCAGCAGCTCTGGGATTATAGGCATGCACCATCACACGCCCCAGGTCATTTCTTTTTATCACTGAAAAATATCCACTCTCTGGATGACTACAGTTTGCTTATCCACTCACCAACTGAAGGACATCTTGGTTGATTCCAAGTTTTTGCAATTAAAAATAAAGCTGCTATATTTGTTTTTAACAGTAGAGATAAGCTTAGTCTTCTCCTGATAGTGTATGACTCTAATTACTGGGAAAGAAATATTCTGGTATTCAAGCATGCTTAAAAATTTTGCCCACTAAATTGATCCTAAAATTGACATTGCAAGTTTTTGGGGTTTTGTTTTGTTTTGTTTTGTTTGAGACAGAGTCTCACTCTCTTACCCAGGCTAGAGTGCCATGGCATCAGCCTAGCTCACAGCAACTTCAAAGTTCTGGGCTAAAGTGATCCTTCTGCCTCAGTCTCCCAAGTAGCTGGGACTACAGACATGCGCAGCTAATTATTTTTTATATAATTTTAGTTGGAAGATTTATTTCTTTCTAGTTTTAGTAGAGACATGGTCTTACTCTTGCTCAGGCTGGTTTTGAACTCCTGACCTTCAGCAATCCTCCCGCCTTGACCTCCCAGGGTACTAGGATTACAGGCATTAGTAACCACACCAGGCCCACCTTGCAGATTTTGCAAGACAGCTAAGATGTGCAGAGTGTTAAGTTGTCACACTGATGTTTCTCTCTTTCTATATGCCATGAAAATGTCCCTGAAAACCGGCTTGTTGGTCTTTGCCGGGTGTGACTGTCTCCTGGTGCAGCTTGCTCTGCTGGTACAGGTGTGCTCATAGGGTCTGAAAGGTCATGTGTAGTATAAGAAACATATTCAGGGCACTGAAGGGGGAACAGGTTTTCAAAACCCAAGAAGGATGGTTCTCCTGCCTACTTCCTATTGGGTGAATCACCTCTATGAATAAGCAGGCCGTTCAGGAGATGAGTTCGGGTAGGACCTGACCCTCACAGGTAGAAGGGGAATCGAGCAAGTGATGAACTCACATGCAAGTCCTGCCGGACTCTCACTTGTGTCGTGTAGACGCTGGGGCAAAGCAGCAAGAGTTTATTGGGAGTTCCCTCATCAACAACCTCGGGGTGGGAGGTGGGAAGCCCGCTGTTCCGACTGTGTTCTTCATCCTATCAGGAACTGATGAGAAAATATTAGCAAATATCACAGACGAAGGCAAGAAGCTGATGGCTACTGCTAACTCTGTGTTGACAAAAGTTGCTGGTGACCTGCTAAACGGGACGATCCTCATCGGGCAGCTGGAGCTGATTATGAAGCACGAGACTCAGTTTCTTGACATCTGGCAACTAAGTGAGTACTGGGAAAGGAAGTGTTCGTGTCTGCCTGTGCGTTTTTGCAAAGAGGGGACTTTTGAGCCTTATAACCAGTAGCTCTTGCCAGCAGGTTGATCGGGGCTGGAGTGTAATTCTCAGGGAGGTCATGGGAAAGGGGTGCAACGATGGGAAGCTCAGAGCTCAGCGCTGTGTCTCTTCCACGCCGCTGAGCGCCGGCCTGGCGCGCTGACGGCTGCCCGCGGAGGGGAGCGCGGGCACGGCCGCCTGGAAACTGTGTTGATCCGGTCTGTTGGGTTACTTGGTTGTTGTTGTTTTCCAGAGGAAAAATGTCTTTCATCCCAGGAGAAATTAGCTGATATGAAGAAAGTGCTGGATTGGAGAAAGGAAGAACTAGATTTTCTAAAGAAGGAGGAAAGTTACGTTGACGGCCTGCTGAAGCTGTGCGAGAGTGTGAAGCACCTGGTGCAAGGTAGAGTCTTAAGAATCCAAGTAAGCGAAAGTGGGTGGTCTGTAAGGGCAGAGGGTTAGAGGAGAATACGATGGAAAGGAATCACAATAGCGCAGCTTTATTTGGGGGGAAAGGCTCTGCACAAAAATTTTTAACAAAGTTACAGGTGCATTTCCTAGAGGTATCAGTTTCATCTCTTCTGGAGTGGTCTTTTTGGTACATACCTGCACGTCTCTCAATAACATGTATGATCCTCCAGATTTTTCCAGTGTCAGCATCTTATCAACGTCCCAGTGTGGACGATGAGGGCTTAGATCTCTGTGTGTCCCGTCTTTGCCCTGCACACGTAGCCTTTGCCTCTCCCCTTACTCCCCACTATGTCGTGATTTAAGATGGATCAAGATTTAGGGTTTAAGTCATCCTCACTGTCTAAACACTGTTTACAAGTGAGCCATGAAATAGATGGAAATGATCCTTTTATTAATGCATTTCTTGCACACACTGTTGTCCATACAATTATATTTCTTGTCATTTGCTTTGTGTTCGTTGTATTTATTTCTAATTCAATCGCAAACTCCACCAACTGTCTGAATTTCCTGTGAAGACAGTCTGGTCTTTGAGAAGGAATCTGCGAGAGCTGGCCTGGAGATGCCGCCCTGACGTCTTCCTTCACCTTCCGGCATCCCCTCTGCCTCTCTCCGGGGTTCAGCCTGTTCCTGTCTCCTTTGCTTGCTCTCTGCTGGCTGTGTTTTGGTAGAACATGTCCTCTGTCACCTTCCTGAGTCCTTGTGTTCCTAAGGATGCCCTCATCCTAGGTCAGTCGTCTGTTGTAGAACTGCAGATCGGAAATCATCCTCCTTCGGAACTTGAGCGTGTCGGTCCGTTGTTGTCTCTGCAGTGTTGCTGCTGGGAAGTCTGACACGATACTAACTCCCGACCCTTCGTGTGTGAGATATCTTCCTCTCTCTGGAATCTCTTGAGACCTTTCTGTCCCTAATAGTCCCAAATTTCGTTACGTGCTTTGGCATGGATCTATTTTTCACCTACTCTACTAGGCATTATTAGTAGGTAGGTCTTTCTAATGTAGAAATCTAACTCCTTGAGTTCTGGGAAAGTCTCTTGAATTATTTGTTTTTTTCTCTTGCTGTAATTCATAGTGGATATCGGACCTCCCGGAAGGGTCATCTAACATTCATCATTTTTCTCTCCTATTTCCCGTCTCTGCTTTTTGCTCTGCTTCCTGAGAGATTTCCTTAGAACTTAGTCTTCCAAACTGTCCATTCAATTTATTATTTCAGCCCTCATGTATACATTTAATTTAAAAGAATTCATTTTTTCTGTGAATAGTCCTTTTTAAACATTATGCTGCTCCTGTTGAAGGTTGCAATAGCTTCTCTATCTGAGATTACTGGCGTTTTGCTTTAGAGGTTTTCTTTTTCTTTCCCTTGCATGGTTTCCTGTTTCCTCTGGGCAGCTTTCATCTATTGGTTTGTTGACTTCCTCCTCTGTCTGGAATTGTTTGTCTGTTTTTATGAATAGACAGCCCTGACACGTGGGTTGGGCCCTGCGGGCCTGAGCCGGCCTTCTGGACTCCGTGCCGCCCCAGGGCCCGAGGCTCGGCCTTTCAACTGCTGTGTCTGGAGGCCCCTCTCTTGGGCCGGTCAGATTTCCAGTCTCCCGCCGGTGCCAGGTTTCTGGGAACCAGGAGGGAGAAGAGGGCTGGCGAGGCCTTGGCCCCGTGGGCCGTACTCCCGCAGCCCTGTGTTCAGTGGGCCCCACCCTCCTCTCTCCCCTTGCCCACCCCGCTCATGCTCCGTTCCCTCCTCCTGGACTGCAGTGCGTGTCCTCTGTGTGTTCCCCGACACAGGGCGCGTGTCTGGAAATGCCTTTTTTCACCATGGGTCTGTGACTTCCTATTGAGAACCCTCTGCGTTATCCTGTCTAGAAAATAAACCACCTGTATCGCCTGCCGGGGTGCAGGAGGGGTGACCCATGTGCTGTGTCACCAGGTGGGGGTGAAAACTGCTGTCCTGTACCCCATCTTGAACAGACTCTGAACCCAGCCACCTCATTTTGTCAGCACCTCCCAGTTTCCAAGGACCTGTACAAGCAGCATCTGCACTTTTAGGGAATCCTGAGATAGAAACCGCTTGACCTCGGCTTGCCCCACTACGGCCTTAGGATTCTGTGTTCTGGCCTAATAGGTCATTTACCGCTGGTGCAGCTGGTTTTCAACTTGCAAAATTTTGTTGCTGTTTTCTCATTTTGCTCCTCCTCCCATCCTTGTTGGTTTATTGTCGTTGGGGTGGGATTTGGGAGAGAGTGAAATAGATGCGTGTTTTCCGACTGTCTTTACCGGGAACCACGATGCTTGCTTTACCACGTCAGTCGTTTACTGATGACTCGGCACAGGGAAGGGGCGTCCTGCGTGTTCTTACTGAGCAACTGTGTCCGTGTGAGCTTCCTTAGAGATGCGGGGACAGTCACACTGGGAGAGTAGAATGAAATGCTGTCGTTATGAGAGCTCTGACTTGTTTCTTGTTCTTATTGTTTCTAAAGTGGACTTTGGAGAGGTTGCAACAAGACACTCAGAGGACCTGAGCAGTAAAAGGTTAAATGAAGCCGTGACAGTGAGACTGCCCACCTCCTCGGACCAGCCGATGACAATACACTACCACTTGAGCCCCCAGGTCCAAGAAATGGCTGAAAAGGTAGATTTGCTGAAAGACAGCCACATCTTCCAGATCTTCTGGAAGGAAGCCGCAGAGTGGTTGAGTGATCCTGAAGAAGAATCAGAAAGGCAAATACTGCAGCTCGAAGAGGCGTATGGTCATCTATATCAGCCTTCTTACGAAAAGTTCCTTGTACTTTATGAGGACCTGAAGTCAGGAGAGGTCACCTTTGCAGAAATCAATGTCCTCTTCAAGGACTTTGTGAATAAGTACAGTGAACTGACGACAGAGCTCCACATCATGGGTGCTGTGGACAGCCAGAGCCCACGGGACTGGATCCGGGAGCGGGTTGGGCAGATCAGGGAGTACCATAACCTGCACCAGGCTGTCAGCGCGGCCACGGTTATCTCGCAGGTCAAAGAGGATCTGGGACTGACTGGTGACTTCAGTGTTCTTTGCACTTTACTACGTTTTGTAAGTTACCTACTAGGGACTCCGGGGTGGCGGTGGGGGCAGGGTGTCCTGCCTGAGATTCCTTGGGAGCCACGGGCTTTCTGGCTGCAAAAGCTGCACAGGGCGGTTTAGCAGCTTCCTTCAAGGTTCTCATTTTTATTGTAGTTGAAGCCTGAGCATGCACCTTTGTTTATAGACAGTGTGACTGCTCCTTCGCTATGAGAGTTTTCTTGGGTCAGTGTGAGGATCAAGGATTCAGGAAAGGGCAACGATGCTTTTAGTAATCAGATATTTATAGAGTAATAATTGGATCTTTTTAGGTTACAGAAGCAAAAGGAGAAAATACTTTGTTGGTTGTCCAGTTACATCCCCTAGTTCTATTAAGAAGTGATAAATGGCCCAGGCTGGGTGGCTCACACCTGTAGTCCCAGCACTCTGGGAGGCCAACGAGAGAGGATCACTTGAAGTCAGGAATTGGAGAACAGCCTGAGCAAGAGAAAAACCCTGTGTCTACTAAAAATAGAAAAATTAGTCAGGTGTGGTGGCACCTATAGTTCCCGTTACTCGAAGACTGAGGCAAGGAGGATCCTTTGATCCCAGGAGTTGGAGGCTGCAGTGAGCTATGAAGACACCACTGCACTCTACCCAGGGTGACAGAATGAGACTCTGTCTCAAAAAAATGAATAAATAAATAAATAAAATAATAATAATAAAAAAGGTAAAAAAAATTTAGCAAAGAAGCAGTAATGATAAGTTGTTTCCATTAGAGTTAAGAAGTGAGTCTTTTGCTTTCTGTTTTCTAGGTGAGCATTTGTAAGGTATATGTACCTGTGTTATAGTACAGACCAGTATGACAGCGATTGAACTTTAGCACAAATTCGGAATCAGACACACTTAAACCTAAATCCCAGTAGCATGTCCTGGAGAAGCTGCTCTGGACCTGTGTTTCTTTATTGATAAAGCAGAAAAAGCAACACGTACCTGGCGGGGTTACTGTGAGTCATGGGTTTTAAAATCCACGTAAGATGCTCGGCAGACTGTTGGTGCAGAGCAGGCACTGTCGACTGGGCAGAAACAGCCATGGAGGTGACGTGGTCCACTTCCGGGGTGAGAGCCTGGCCGGCCTGTCACCGCGGCGGCAAGTCCTGGAGTCCGGGGCCGGGGAGCGGCTGTCAGGGTGGCCGGCGTTGCCACACATAGACTCTGGGGTTGCAGGTGACGAGTCCAGTCCACAGCAGATCTTTGTCTTGCAGACTGACAACTTTGAGGACTTCCGCCACGAGAAACTGGTCCAGATCAGCCCGCAACTTATCCAGGCCAAGAAGATGCTGCAGGACATGAGCGCGGCCCGGTGCCGGTGTCTGCAGGCGCTGTCCGGGAGGAAGGAGTTCATCAGCTGGGTGCGGGAGGCACTGGGAGGTAAGAGCCAGGAGTCTGGAGAGGGCTTCCAGATGGTTCTCTGTGTGGTGTTCCTGACTGCCCCATGGGCGCTGGCCAGGAACGGCCCGGGATCCTTTCTGAGTCTCCGCCCCTCAGCTTCTCCTTTGGGTGGAGAAGGAAAGCTCTTGCCCACGAGAGATGCTGTCCAACATCCCCATCGGTGTGGTGCATTCCTTGGCGGCATTTCAGTTCTGTAGTTTAGATGCCTTTGCGCGAGTTGAGAGGGAAAAAGAGGAGGTGGACAGGAGGGCAGAGGGCAGAGGGCGGGGGCAGCGCTGGTGTGCAGCGGGGTCGGGGCTAAGAGGCTGCACTGGCTCCAGGCCCATCAGGAGCTTCATGGCTCCCAACGGTGGACTTTTTGGTCTCACTCTGTCACCTGGGCTAGCATGCAGCGGCTCAATCATAGCTCACTGCAGCCTCAAACTCTGGGCGAAAGCCAGCCTCCTGCCTCAGCATCCCAAGTAGCTGGCACTGCAGGCACCGCCACCACATAGCTGCATTCTTATTGAAAGTGGATAAAACCTTAAAAATTCAACAAATATTCATTTACGGCGTCACTAAAGAGTCCTGTGCAAGGGCAGTCCTGTGCTGAGCTCCTCTCCTCTCTTCCTAAGGCATCAACGAGCTGAAGGTGTTCGTGGACCTGGCTTCCATCTCGGCGGGCGAGAACGACATAGACGTGGACCGGGTGGCCTGTTTCCACGACGCCGTGCAGGGCTACGCCCCCCTGCTGTACAAGCTGGACGCCAGGGCAGGGTTCGGCGCGTTCATGGAGCACCTGGCAGAACTGTGGAAGGCTCTGGACATCGACCAGCACCTGCCCAATAAACTGGTGAGTCTCGTTCCTGCTCCAGAGCAGGCCGTGTGGAATGCAGCGCTGCTCTGGCAACGTTAGGGAAACGCAAACGACGGAGGCTTGTACGCAGCCATTTAAGATGATGTTTAAAAAGATTTTCTTCGCAAATTGAAATTATTTCTACATCTTACTATGTTTGGAAAGGCGTTACAAAACTCCTTACAAATAACAGTAAACTATGGCACAAAACACATGTAAAAAAGAGTAAAGAAAATATGCTAAAATGTCCCTTGTGTTTTTCTCTCAGTGGTATCAATTGTCATTTTATTTGGTCACTTTTGCATATTCTCCATGTTTTCCACAGTTGATGCAGATTAGTGTTGTATAGGAAAGGTGAACATTTAGGTGTAAGTGAACTACCCGGACCAGGGTCTGCGTTGGCTTACAGGAGTCCCGAGTGGTCCCGCGCCCGGGGCGCTCAGGACAGCCGGCTCTGCGGGTGGCTGGGCAGGATGTGACCAGGCACGAGCAGGTAGAGCTGTCCTCACTTCTGCTGGAAGCCCACACCGGAACGGGCCTCGCTGCCGTCTTTCCTTAACTCTCCATCACACTCAGGGACCACAGTAGGACATCGGGCACTTAGGCCCCTACGGCCCGGCTGCAGCTGGCGCCACTCCGCAGGGCTCCTCGAGTGGAGCGCCGCCCGTGGCTGCTCACCCTCAGCCGCGTATCCAGAGTCCCAGGCCATGGGCCACGGGGCACCGGGCGCTGGTGGAAACGTGGGTGCAGCGGCACACAGAGACGGAAACCCGGCATGGCGGGTCCACAGGAGGACAGGCAGGAGCACACAGGAGCCACCTGACCCTGCCATGGGCACCAGGCGGGCGGCGGTGCCATGCACCTGGGGAGGAGTGACAGGAACAGAGGGGGAGGAGGCGCAGGAGGACGGGGAGGAAAGAAGTCACAGGGACAGTGGCCCAAACCTCTCCTGTCCCAACAGAGTGACTCTGCCAGGAACTTGGAGTGGCTGAAAACAGTGAAGGACAGTCATGGGTCTGTAGAACTCTCGTCCCTGTCCCTGGCCACCGCGATCAACAGCAGAGGCATCTATGTGATCGAGGCACCCACAGGTGGCCGAAAGGTGAGCTACCCGTCCGCAGGCGCAGCTGTGGGCGGCACGTGCAGGCTGCTGCACGCCCAGGGGCTTCCGCCGCCCGAAACCGCCTCTGACACATGGCCTTTCCCAGGTTTCCCCGGACGCGGTTCTGCGCCTGGTCCTCCCCGAGGGCCACGGTGGCCACGAGGAGACGCGGGGCTACTCTTTGGAAGAGCTGAAGGAGCTCTTGAACAAGCTGATGCTGATGTCTGGCAAGAAGGATCACAGCAACACTGAGGTGGACAGGTTTTCTGAGGTGAGGACGCGAGCGTGTGGGGTGCTACGCGGCCGTGGCCATCGCACGCTGGGGGCTGGGCACCGTCACAGCTGCGGCACCTGAGAGGGGGGGACGGTCTGAGCGGGGTCTGAATGGCGAGGCTGGCTCTGCTGCAAGGCCCAGGGAGAGCGGAGTTCGCGAGTCCCACGTGGTGCACGTGGCCCCGGGTCGTGGTCCCCGAGAGAGGTCTGCGGGGGGCAGGCCCTTGGGGTAGCAGTTCTCCTTGTGGTCCACAGACTGAACTGCCACGAGCTGGCAGGTGGTCCACCATTCTACAGAAACCACCCAGTGGGTAGTTCTCAGTCTGCAAGTCGGCCAGAATCCCAGTCTGTAAGGTTTACACGGGCATCCTTCTTCCGAACAGAAACATGCTGACACGGTGCACCGGTTTATGTAACAGTCTCTCAATTTTATCGTGGGTTCTTTCGTTAGATTTCATTTGTATTCTGCAAATGATAACCTTGATTCCTACGCCCGACTGCTTCCTAGAGACAGCCCCTCCCATTAGGCCGGCCACACAGATGAGGAAGGCGGGCCTTCTGCGTGCCCGGGTCACACAGGGAACCAGCGCAAAGAAACAAACCCGAGTCCTTGGGTGACAAGCCTGCATGTCATCTTCTAGAGCAGCTCTGCAGTGTCCCCTCCTGTCCTGTTCCCCAGGTGTTCTGCAGCGTGCAGAGGCTCGTCCAGGCCTTCCTGGACCTCTACCGTGCCGGGAACATGCTGTTCAGGAGCTGGACCGCCGAGATCCACTGCTCGCCCCGGAGCGGCATCTCCGTCCGCATGGACTTCGGCCTGGGGCTGGTGAACCAGCTGACGGGGAGCGGGGACGTCACTGGGCTGCTGGAAGCCGTCTGCAGGCAGATGGAGCACTTCCTGGAACGCTGGGAGAGGTTCGTGACGGAGAAGCGCACGGAGCACTTTCACCTCAACTTCTACACGGCGGAGCAGCTGGTTTACCTGAGCACGGAGCTCAAGAAGGAGGCGCCCAGCGAAGCTGCCCTAACCATGCTGTCCTTCATCAAAGGCCGCTGCACCCCGAGGGACGTCTTAATGGCCTCCGAGGGGCAGGACGAGGAGGCCGCCAGGTACCGCGTGCGCAGAGTGGTTAAGGAGGTGCAGCGGGTGCTCTCCAAGTCCAGCCTGGAGGACAAGCTGCAGGCCATCATGGAAAAGTCCACGGGCTGCCTGAGTGCCTTCCTGCCCGACTGCCTGGACCTGGAGGCGCTGGGCCGCTGTCTGGCTTGCCTGGCGGAGATGGGCGGGCCCCTCCCGGAGCGGGACCTCCCCAGAGGCCTGCACGTCGGCCAGCCCAACCTCGTGGTCTGCGGCCACTCGGAGGTGCTGCCGGCTGCCCTGGCCGTCTACATGCAGGCGCCGGACCAGCCCCTCCCCACCTACGACGAGGTGCTGGTCTGCACCCCGGGGACCACGTCCGAGGAGGTGGCGCTGCTCCTTCGCCGCTGCCTCTTCCCGGGCTCCCGCGGGCGCAAGGTCTACAGCCTGCTGTTCGCAGACCAGCTGAGCTACGAGGTGGCCTGCCAGGCGGAGGAGCTGCTCCAGCGCCTGCGCACTCAGCCCCACCGGGAGGACTACCAGCTGGTGCTGGTGTGCGACTGTGACCGGGAGCACTGCTACCTGCCCTCGGCCTTCAGCCAGCACAAGGTCCTCGTCACGCCCCAGGCTCCCCTCGAGGCCATCCAGGACTACCTGGCACGTCACTACCGGGTCCCAGAGCAGAGCCAGTCGGCGGCGGCCGCGTTCCAGGACCGGATGTGTGTTGGGATCGTGGCCTCGGAGAGAGCCGGTGTCGGTAATGACCATGGGGGGGGGCAACTCTCTGTCTCCAGGGGCCACCGACGACCCTGCCTCCCCAGCAGCGGCCGGTTCTGAGGGAGCCCTTCTGCAGGTGGAGACGCTGGTGTCGGGGAGGGCCGGACTCCTTGTACCAGAGCGAGACACCCTTTTTCACCTGGTGTCCCGAATCGGGCACTTAGTGGACCCCCTATGCCCTTCCTCCTCTACGCAAATCTCTGCAGTTTACTTTTCCCCTTCAAACTCCAGGGTCTCTCTGGGGTTGATGCTGGTGGACAGAGCAGGGGTGTGCCTGCTCTGCCTGCAGAGAGGCCGATGCCCTCGACCTGGCGTCAGTAGGATCATGTCCCCTGCAGAGACACGGTGGTTGCCATTGTCTTGCCCCACAACAATACTACACTCCGTTAGGACAAAGGTGCTCTCCCTCCCCCTGCCCCCCAGCGTGTCTTTGCTGTCACTCACAGTCTTGCACAGCTTAAGGACGTTCCCAGCAACAGCGGACCATGTGTGTGGCGGTGGTCCCCTAAGAGTAGAATACCACATATCCCTGTGCCTTTCTGTGCTGAGGTCCATAGACACTGGCACTGTGGCTCAGCTGCCGGCCGTGCAGGTGTAGCTAGGAGCAGCGGCTATGCTGGGTGGCCCAGGCGTGTGGTAGGCGAGACCTGCTACACTTGGGTTTGTGTAAGCACTCCGTTTCTCAGAAGGCATCCCCGTCGCCAAGGACGTGTGACAGTGTTTCCACTGCTGTCATTCATAGCAGGGAAATGGCCAAGTTAGTGAGCAGGTGATCGCTAGGACACGTGATTCAGAAGTGTCTTCTTTAATCTCGTGTTATGTTGCCTCAGTTTTAAGCTTTATGCAGAAGGAAGTAACTGGTAATAAATCTTTCTGCATCCTGACTCTGCCCACAGCCCGGGACTAATTTCCATCTCTGTTGCAGGCAAGTCTCTCTATGTGAAGAGATTGCATGACAGACTGAAGCTGATGTTAAAGAGCAGGGAAGTGCCTCTGAAAACCATTCGACTCATCGACCCTCAGGTGGACGAGGGCCGCGTCCTGGGCTCCCTCCTGCCGTTCCTGGCCGCACGGTATCAGGACAGACCCGTGATATTCCACGTGGACGTGACCTCTTCGGTAAGTGCCCTCGAATTTAAGCTGCACGGACACATCGACAAAGACATAATCCCACATGGTGACTTTGCCTCTTCCCTGTGGAAAGAATTTCTTCTTTCTGCGTGGACAGTCCTGCCTCTCTTAACAATGAGGGTATGTTCTGACAAATGCACCGTTAGGCGTTTCATGGCCGTGTGGACGTCAGTGTGCTCCGCTAACCGGCGCGGTCCGGCCCGCTGCTCGGCGAGGCGACGTGGCCGGGCCTGTTGCCCCGAGGCTGCAAAGCTGTACGGCACGCGACTGCGTGGACACTGTGGGAAACTGAGACACGGTGGCTTGTGGGCACCTAAACACATTTAAACGTAGGAAAGCATGGTAGAGACACAGCACTGTAGTCGTAGGGGACCGCCGTGGCACAGGTGACCCGTCCACGCACGGCAACACTGTTGGCAGCGCATGGGTGCCGCGGGCCCGTGTTAACCATCAGTATCGCTCTGTTGAAGAACAAACTCAGAGGATGCTCAGGGTTGCAAGAACTCATCGTCATTTTGTGTATTTACAGACCCATGTCATTCCGTCCTTAGGTGCGGACTGGAGTTTCGGTGTTTCTTTTCAAACTCCTCGTTTTACAGTACTTAATGGACATACATGGGAAGATGTGGCTCCGGAAGCCGTGCCATTTATATGTCATCGAAATCCTGGAAGGGAATTCCGTGCTGCCCAGGAGGTCTTCGAGGCCGGTCCGTTTCGTGGGGCATTTTCTCGTGGTGTGGGAGGGTCTTCACTTCCTTCGGGGCCCACCACAGGGGTGACACATTCCAGCAATGCCACGCTTTTGCCTTACTGAAGCAGCTGAGTGCACTGTTAGTAAAGAAAGTTTAATCTTTAAATTTGTTTTTAAATGATGTCTGCAATAAAAATACTCTTCTGGCCAGGTGCAGTGGCTCACGAATATAATTCCAGCACTTTTTGAGGCCTAGGTAGGAGGATTGCTTGAGGCTGGGTGTTCAAGGCCACTTTGAGCAAGAGCAAGAGCTTATCTCTACAAAATATATAAAAATAAGCCAGGTATGGTGGCACCTATAGTCCTAGCTACTCTGGGAAGCTGAGCCATGAGGATTGCTTGAGCCCAGGACTTTGAGACGGCAATGAGACGTGACGCCACTGTACTCTAGCCCATGTGACACAGCAAGACCCTGCCTCAAAAAAAAAAAAAAACCTCTTATATTAATCAGCGGTATCTTAAATTTGTTTGTTTAATTCAGGTATACTGCCGTATGTCAGTTTAAATCCCAGCTGTGCTCTGAATATGGTAAATTCGTTTGCTGAGAGAAGGCATCTTTCCTGCAGGCTAAGATGGGAAGGAGACTGTTGTCGGGAACTTCTTAGCAAACAGATTTTTATGCTCACACAGGTGTATACATCAGTGCTTATTGGGAAGTCCAGTTGCAGGAAGCTGGGCTAGAAAACGCCCTCTCTTCCTAAGAGTGCGGCTCCCACCATTCAGCCTCCACGATACCTTAATGTGCAAAACACACCCAATGTAAGCAGTAAAAAGAGTCTACTACGTATTTTTAAGTAATTTTTTTTGATAAAGGTTCATCTCATACAGATCCTGTGGAGGGTCGAAACACGAAAAGCATTTGTTAGGAGACTTAGTCCTAACCACGTTACCACTCTCTCCTTTCCAGGGTGCACATGCCCCCCAGTTCGGTTTTCTGGACATCTTCCCAAAAGTCACCTGCAGGCCTCCCAAAGAGGTTCAGGACATGGAGCTGAGTCCTGAGAGGAGCGACCGAGAGCCCGGGATGGATCTCGTAGAGTTCTGCAGTGAGACTTTCCAAAGACCTTACCAATATTTAAGACGATTCCATCGAAACGAAAACCTAGACCGGTTTCAGTACCAAGAAGGCTCCATTGAAGGCAACCCGCAGGAATGCCTCCAACATTTCCTGATTTACTGTGGGGTGATAAACCCGTCCTGGTTGGAGCTTGGGAACTTCTCGAGGTTCTTGAATTACCAGCTCCGAGATTGTGAGGCCTCTGTCTTCTGCGATCCGGATATCATCGGAGACACCCTGAGTGGCTTCAAGAACTTTGTGGTGACGTTCATGATCTTCATGGCAAGAGATTTTTCCACACCGACACTTGACACCTCTGACCAAAGCCCAGGGAGTAACACGGTCCCCATGGATGGGGTTAAGGAAGAAGATTTGGCCCCTTTCTCCCTCCGGAAGCGGTGGGAGTCAGAGCCCCACCCATACGTCTTCTTCAACGCTGACCACACCTCCATGACGTTCATAGGCTTCCATTTACAGCCCAACCAGAATGGCGGCATGGACGCCGTCAACCACTTGACTGGGACCGTGATCAAGAGGGACGTCATGACCGCAGAGCTGTACAGGGGGCTGCTGCTTCAGAGGGTGCCCTTCAACGTCGACTTTGATAAACTGCCCAGGCACGAGAAACTCGAGAAGCTCTGCCTGGTCTTAGGGATCCAGTGGCCCATAGACCCTGATGAAACATACGAGCTCACTACAGACAACATGCTCAAGATCCTTGCCGTTGAGATGCGGTTCCGATGCGGGATCCCGGTGATCATCATGGGAGAAACTGGCTGCGGGAAAACCAGGCTCATCAAATTCCTGAGCGACCTGCGGGGCGGCGGGGCCGACGCTCAGACGATAAAGCTGGTCAAGGTCCACGGAGGAACGACGGCGGACATGATCTACTCCAAAGTCAGGGAGGCTCAGGACATCGCTGTCCTCAATAAGGCCAACCATCAGCTGGACACCATCTTGTTCTTGGACGAAGCCAACACAACGGAAGCCGTGAGCGCCATCAAAGAGGTCCTGTGTGACCGCACGGTGGACGGCCAGCCCCTGGCAGAGCGCTCTGGCTTGCATGTCATAGCCGCCTGCAACCCTTACCGGAAGCACTCGGAGGAGGCCATCTGTCGCCTGGAGTCTGCCGGTTTGGGCTACCGGGTCAGGGCGGAGGAGACGGCGGACAGGCTGGGCTCCATCCCCCTGAGACAGCTGGTGTACCGCGTCCACGCTCTGCCCCCGAGCCTGATTCCCCTGGTGTGGGACTTTGGACAGCTGGATGACACTGCTGAGAAGCTCTACATCCAGCAGATCGTCCAGAGACTGGTCGACTCCGTCCGCCTGGAGCCGGCCGAGACCCGTGTGATCACAGAAGTGCTTTCTGCCTCTCAGGGTTTCATGAGGAAGAGACAGGACGAGTGCAGCTTTGTCAGCCTCCGGGACGTGGAGCGCTGCGTGAAAGTTTTCAAATGGTTTTACGACCACAGCGAGATGCTTTTAGTAAAACTGGATTCGTTGGTCCGCGAGTCCAACACCAGCAAGGGTCACGTCCAGAGAGACCCCATCCTCTGGTCCCTGGTGCTGGCCATCGGCGTGTGCTATCACGCCTCTTTAGAAAATAAAGACTCGTATCGCAAAGACATTTGCAGGTTCTTTCCAGAACCGTACGATGACAGCAAGGTTATTCTGGAGGAAATAACTCGAACACAGGATCTCTTTCTGAACGGCGTCCCTCTGAGGAGAACCATCGCCAAGAACTTGGCTTTGAAGGAGAACGTCTTCATGATGGTCATCTGCATCGAGCTCAAGATTCCTCTCTTCCTGGTGGGGAAGCCTGGCAGCTCCAAGTCTCTGGCCAAGACCATCGTGGCGGACGCCATGCAAGGCCAGGCCGCTCACTCGGATCTCTTCCGCAGCCTGAAGCAGGTCCACCTGGTGTCCTTCCAGTGCAGCCCGCATTCCACGCCACAGGGCATCATAGGCACCTTCAGGCAGTGCGCCCGCTTCCAGCAGGGGAAGGACCTGCGGCAGTACGTGTCCGTGGTGGTGCTCGACGAGGTGGGACTGGCGGAGGACTCGCCCAAGATGCCCCTGAAGGCTCTGCACCCGCTGCTGGAAGACGGCTGCGTCGAAGACGACCCCGCCCCCCACAAGAAAGTCGGCTTCGTGGGCATCTCCAACTGGGCCCTGGACCCCGCCAAGATGAACCGCGGCATCTTCGTGTCGCGCGGCAGCCCCAGCGAGCAGGAGCTCACGGAGAGCGCCAGGGGCATCTGCTCTTCCGACAGCCTCGTTCAGGACAGAATCCAGGGCTTCTTCGCACCCTTTGCCAGAGCCTACGAGACGGTGTGCGAGAGCCAAGACAAGGAGTTCTTCGGGCTTCGCGACTACTACAGCCTCATCAAGATGGTCTTCGCCGTGGCGAAAGCCTCCAACAGAAAGCCTTCCCCACAAGACATCGCGCAGGCCGTCCTGCGCAACTTCAGCGGCAAAGACGACATCCACGCTTTGGACATCTTCACAGCCAGTTTGCCGGAGGCAAAGTGCTCGGAAGAAGTCAGCACTGTGCAGCTGATCAAGCAGAACATCTACGGGGCTCTGGAGAAGGTGCCAGGCAGAGGGCTGGACGACGTGGACTCCCGCTACTTACTCGTGCTCACCAAAAACTACGTGGCCCTGCAGATCCTGCAGCAGACGTTCTTCAGCGAGGGCCAGCAGCCGGAGATCATTTTTGGTTCCAGCTTTCCCAAGGACCAAGAGTACACCCAGATCTGCAGAAACATCAACCGCGTGAAGGTCTGCATGGAAACGGGCAAGATGGTGGTGCTGCTGAACCTGCAGAACCTCTACGAGAGCCTCTACGACGCGCTCAACCAGTACTACGTCTACCTCGGGGGGCAGAAGTACGTGGACCTGGGTTTGGGGACCCATCGTGTCAAATGCCGGGTTCACCCAGACTTCCGCCTGGTAGTCATCGAAGAGAAGGAGGTTGTGTACACTCGCTTCCCCATCCCCCTCATCAACCGGCTGGAGAAGCACTATCTGGACCTGAGCACCGTGCTGGAGAAATGGCAGAAGAGCATCGTGGATGAGCTCGAGACGTGGGTGGCGAAATTCGTCCATGTGAAGGTGGATCCGTTTCAAGGCAGACACAAGTACAGCCCTTCTGACGTCTTCATCGGCTACCACTCGGACACCTGCGCCTCGGTGGTGCTGCAGGTCACAGAGAGGCAAGGCCCCAGGGGCCCGACCGAGGAGCTTTACCAGAAGGTGTCCACGGAGGCCAAACTGACCCTGCTGGATTGTGCCACCCCCGACGCCGTGGTCCGGCTGAGTGCCTCCTCGCTGGGCTTCTTCGAGGCTGAGTCCTTGTCCCGGAAATACTACCACACTCAGCAGCACGACTCCTTCGCAGATTTGCTGTGGGCTCACCTTCAAGCAACAAGCCAGGAAAGCCATGCCGTCTTCACGGAGGTGAGTGCCTTTCTACCATTTCCCTCTGTCCTCTTTTGCCTAAAAGTCCTGAATCCCTAGGGCCAGGGTTCAAGGTTCTTTTCAAGTCGGTGTATCGGGACCATAGTGGACATGCCAAGACTTTGGGTTCCTCTCCGTGGTAAGTACAGGGAGGACCAGGTCCTTATGCGAGTTCCATTTAGCCACGGTTTGAGTGTCCGCTGCTGTGCGGGGCTCCGTGCCGACAGCAGCATCTGCGTCAACCAATGTAGCCCCACGGCCGAGTGCTGAGCTAAGCATGCTGGAGATGTGGAATCAATTTGCCCAGGGCCTGTCCTTGGTGTTGTCCACGTGTAACGTGGGAAGACTGGCACGTGCACAGATGCCGTGGATCGTGTATGGTAAGTGAACGCCCTGTTCAGGGCAGAGCGGGGCAGTGCAGATCAGGATAAAAGGGCAGATGAGATTTTCTCTAGGACAGGCCCCTCCAGCTGGCTGGGAAGGGATTCTGGGCAGAAAGCCTCCATGGGCGA